CTTTCAGCAGGGGACCGGGTGGGAGACAATGTGAAGGAACTGGAGGCACTGTCAGCCATCTAATCTACTATTGCCTGTACTTGTTCTGGCCTCACCATTCATAGAGCAGCATTCAGGCCTACCAAATAACGCTGAAGGTTCTGTCGCGTACTCGCACCTGAGGAAGGTGTTTCACTTCTGCGTGTAGCTGGCACAGATCGACCACGTCCTCTCCTTGCAACACCAAGCAGCACCACGACCAGGGCCACATTCCTTATTTGACACTCTCCTCATTCTTTGCGTTCACCCACCAAACTAACAGATGGTTTATGTCAGGTGACAATGTAACCGCCAATAGTCAACAATTTTTTTTTTGTTTATTGGACTGCAAGAAATGCACCACAGGCCGCAAATGCACTATTTAGCACCTAAAAAATGTTAATGTTTAAAACTGCGCTGTTACCACAGTATTTGATGGTTCTATTTGACTCTCAGATATGAAGTGCAGGCCCCAAATGTACTATTTAGCACCAAAGAAGTGTGAATTAGTCAAATTGCAATGTCACAGCAGTATTTAAATCTCAGATATGAAATGCACACGACAAATATACTTTTTAGCACCAACGAAATTTGAATTAGTCAAACTACAATGTCACAGCAGTATTTGACGGTTCTATTTGTCTCTCAGATATTAAGTGCACACCCCAAATTTACTTTTTCGCACCAAAACTATTTGAATTTTTAAAACTGCTATGTCACAGCAGCATTTGACAGTTCTATTTGACTCTCAGATATGAAGTGCAGGCCCCAAATGTACTATTTTGCAACAAATAAATGTAAATTAGTCAAACTGCAATGTCACAGCAGTATTTGACGGTTCTATTTGTCTCTCAGATATGAAGTGCACACCCCAAATTTACTTTTTAGCACCCAAACATTTGAATTGTTCAAACTGCGCTGTAACCATCGTATTTAACGGTTCTATTTGACTCTCAGATATGAAGTGCACCGCAGGCCGCAAATGTACTATTTAGCACCCAAAAAAATTAGAATTTTTCAAAGTGCGATGTAACCCCAGTATTTGACAGTTTTATTGGACTCTCAGATATGAAGTGCACACCCAAAATTTACTTTTTAGCACCAAAGAAATGTGAATTTTTAAAACTGCGCTGTAACCACAGTATTTGACGGTTCTATTTGACTCTCAGATATAAAGCGCACCGCAGGCTGCAAATGTACTATTTAGCACAAAAAAGTGTGATTTTCTTTTTAAACCACCAATGCAAAAGTAGTATTTAAGGGTTTTATTGGACTACAAGAAATGCAGTACGCAAATGTACGATTTAGCACCCAAAAAACTGCAGTATTTAAAAATGCCTAGATGTTGCCCACTGAGCTACCAGAACAGGATTCAAGTAATGTGCCTGGCACACATGCAGTTTCAAGTGCACTGAACTATCTGTGGCACTGGGCTCAGGGCAGGGTACAAAAATGTAGTATAGCACCCACTAAAATAATCGCTATAGTTTGCACATTCAACACCAGAATTCTTTCCTAATCTGTCTTTCATAGCTGCCGCATCCTCTCCCCACACTAATAAGAGCTCATGTAACGTGCGGCGCTATGTGATATATATAGGGGCTGGGTCACAAACTGCACTGGCCAATCACAGCCATGCCATTAGAAGGCATGGCTGTGATGGCTTCTAAGGGCACATGAGTCAAACGCTTGTTGATTGGCTGCCCTGCAGCCTTTCAAAACGCGCCATTAAATCACTGAAAACCGAACTCCAACCCGAACATACACTGAAATGTCTGTGTTCGGGGTCCAAAAACCGTAATGTTCGGTACGAACCCGAACTTTTCAGTTCAGGTTCGCTCAACTCTAATATTCACCAATATGAAGTCTAAACACAGCAAATGCGTAAGTACTTCATGTTTTCCACTACATAAAACCCACCAAGCCGGATGAGTCCCCCAGAATGTTGGTTCAGTTGACCCTTCAATATTTATGTTAATATTTATATATATTGGTCAACATAGCTCTTTAAAAGGTCACTATAGTCACCAGAAGAACTACAGTTTATTGAATATGTTCTGTTGTGTAGAATCATTACCTTCAGGCTTTTTGCTATAAACACTGTCTTTTCAGAGAAAGTTCAGTGTTTACATTACAGCCTAGTGATAACTTCACTGGCCACTCCTCAGATGGCTGTTAGAGATCCTTCTTGGGTCATGGCTGCCTAAAATGCATCCAAACATTCAGTGTCTCCTCCCTCTGCATGCAGACACTGAACTTTCCTCATGGAGATTCATTGATTCAATGTATCTCTATGAGGAGATGCTGATTGGCCATGGCTGTGTTTGAATCATGCTGGCTCTGCCCCTGCCTGATCTACCTCTTTACCAGTCTAAGCAAATCCTATGGAAAAGCACTGTGATTGGATCAGGCTACCACTTCTGATGATGTCAGCAGACAGCTTGTTTTTCTGAGTCTAACGGCATGCAGATTACAGCTTCAGGTTTGAATACAGTAAAATTTTGCTATATTTATGGAGGCATGAGGGGTCCAGGAGAGCTAGATGGGGGTTTTAACACTATAGTGTCAGGAATACATGTTTGTGTTCCTGACCCTATAGTGATCCTTTAAGGTATGATTTGATGTACCGACATCTGTTACCCCGGATTATTCTTACCTTTTCGAGATTATACAGTAGAAGAACAGATATCGCTTTCAAGAATGTCTTTAGAAATTGTTTAAATTCTAACTATTCTAGCTGATAACTTGACTATTACTAAAATAATCCAGTATCTAAAGACCCAAAAGGCATTGTAATAAATGAAACATTGACTCAAATAAATTTAAAAAAATGTAAGTGTATTGAATAAATGTTACAGAAATAAAATAACAGATAATCTTACCAAACCATTAGAGGTAGGCTGGCAGCAGGTTAAGGAGACATGATGGAATGAATGAATGCTAAATGTATAGTTACAGTTTATATAGCTTCCTCCAAAGAGAGAGACCCCCACCTGTTGTGACATATCACAAAAACGTGTTCCCTGATATCTGATGTAATGTATTCTATGGTCAGCAATTAGCTGGTCTGTGAATAGCTCTTAATAACAGATTAAGTGCGTATACATTTGACTGAAAACACATGTTGTGTGTTCTAATTTAACTTTAACCTTTCCGTTGCTGTTCACCTTGTGGAAATGTCATGAGTTTGCAATATATAGACATATATATATATATCATACAGCTAAATGCATATGTGCTATCAGACAGCTATTTCCTAATTAATTAAGAAAAGCGAGCAATCCATACTCCACAGCAGAGACCCCTTAAGCCTAACAATCACTCCCTGTAACTACCAGGGAGCTTCCATTCCCCGCCAGGATAGAGTCCCCGGTAATTCACAGATGAAAAGCTTTGACCACATGAAACTCTTCTGGACCAATCTGGTCACTGCAGTCGGCTGAAACCGTAAAAAAAAAATAAAAAAAAATAAAAAATGTATGATACGTGTGGGTACGTTACTGTTTAATGTGTGTTTTGGGGGTATTTTTTATTTCTCTCTCTGTATCCGGGAGATAATTAGTTTACCAGTAACCAACTTAATTATCTCCCAGACACAGAGACGCCTGGGCTGGCTTAGGATGTTTTAAATGGAGACATCATGTAGGGGGTCTGGGTATAAATGTCTGTGCATTTGTCTAATAAAAAAAGTTGTTGTACCTTCATCAAGTCTTGATTGATATTTGGGTATATGGGAGCTATAATTCACTATTTTTTGCGGGATCTGGGAGAGACTACGACAGAGGTACAGGGACGTAGGGTGGTTGGCTGACAGAGGCGGAAGGAGAATTTAATACTTGCATAGAAGAGAGAGAGAGAGGAGCACAGATGGGCTCTAGCCTTGTCTCTGTGGTGCAGTCTGTGCTGTGAGCATTCCTTTCACTAGAGAAGACATGTCTCTATTTTCATTGGCTGCAAGAGACTGGGAATCAGGAACATGTTGAAATCTGAGAGGGGGTTGGCTAAGGAGCTTGGGTTACACTGCTGAAATCAGCAAAACATTTTACAGCACTGCAGGAAAACTACACCTAATTAAAAAAAACAAAAACTAACCACAGGTATTAGAGCTTTAGTTGACGTGTTTAGTTGCCTGGAGTGTCCCTTTAAAGGATTGAAAAAAAATAATCAAATTCCCAACAACATATCCAACTTCTATAAGACACAGGAACAAGTGCATGTCCTATTAACCTTCACAAATGATAAAATATTACTTTGCATTGCTAAAGCATTGCTAAAATGTAATGCTTATGGGATCTGCCCTTGTAACACATTCTAGGTTGACCTGAATAAAAACCATGACACTCCATCAGTCCCATTAAAGAAGCAATTCAGCAGGTGTTGAGTTTACCAGAGCATCATTATGAGTGTTCATCCACTAGTCCAAATCTGGTCCTAATCCCAGATTTATGGTGGGTAAAATCTGATATCTCCTTAGCCCCCAGACCAAAATATCCATGCATAGAGCGTAGAAATATGCCAGTTAGATACCAGCTTTCAACCAACACAAACACCATACAGGTGGAGCTTCAAGCCTGCTTGGTGAACAGCCAGGGTGAAACATTTATAGAGGGAGTGATCGCAAGAAAGTCGATCTGCTCTAGACACAGGTAAGAATGTAGGGGTACCTAAAGAAATGCCAATTAACTTCATTGAGTTAATAATGCATTGGTCCCATACACTCACTGTGATTACCTTTTAAACCATGTACCATATGCTTAAAATTTTGCCTATACATGTGTTATCCAAATGGTTAAAACGTTTTTATTTTGTCTGACTTCCTTAGCCTTTACGGTTATGTCATCAGTCAAGTTGTACACACCACAACTGTCACACCAATTGGCAGCTGTGCCATGTATCGTGCAAATGTAATACAATGCTTTTTATCAATCCAGTGGAGGTAGCATTTGTATGAAATAAACATCAAGTTAATTATTTTTATTAAGTTAGAGTTCGTCTCTTTTGCTGCCGCTGGTCCTTTGTAACTGGTCACCAGCTGTCCTTTGAATGTGTCCACTGAAATTTTCCATGAGGCCAGCATCTATAGAATGCTGTCTGAGATGTTCAGTGCCAACAAGGCCACGGTTCTGCAAGTATCCCTGCTGGCAGTAAATGGGCAACTTCTGGTGTGTCAACGTGAAGAGGAAGCAGGATTCTGCACAAAGAAACACAGACTTTATTATCATTGTTGTATAGAACCCGCAGACGTGGCGAGGTACCTGCTCAAATGAGCTTACAATCTAAAACAGGCGCGTCCAACCCCCGGCTCGCATGCAGCCCTGAACAGCTTGTATTGGTCCAGTTGCTGTTCGGGCTGATGGATGGCGAGGGAGGCAGAGTGCTCATTACTTTTTTTGCACAGCTCCCTCGCACACCCTGCAGTAAGCTGGCAAATGGGATAGGACGTAATAATAGAATCGGCATCACTACTGGGCGTCTGAGTGACCTGTGCAGGAAGAGCACATGGATCCATCACAGCAGCAACCACTGGCCACCAGGGAGAGTATTCACTCCAGCCCTCCCAGAGCAAGGTAGGAAGGCTGGGTAGACCTCTTACTTAAATAATGTGTGTGTATGACAGTAATTATGTGTATAGGTAATTGTGTGTCTGATTGTGTTTGTGCGCGTATGTGCGCATATGTCTGTGTGACTGTATGTCTGTGTGTGTATAGGTCTGTGATTATATGTGAGTGTATATATCTGTGATTGTGTGTATATGTACAGTAAGGTGGAAAAAAAATATTTGACCCCCTGCTGATTCTGAACGTTTGTCCACTGACAAAGAAATGATCAGTCTATAATTTTAAAGGTAGGTGTATTTTAACTGAGAGAATAAAAAAATAAAAAAACAGAAAAACCTATGTCAAAAAAAGAGTTCTGAATTGATCTGCAGGTCAATGGTCAAAGAGTGTGGCTGTGTGGCAATTTAAGTGGCTATGGTAACTTAATTATCTCCATTAATAGGAAATATCACCAAGTCAAAAACCACATAAAAATACATCTCTTATAATATAATGTTTAACCTATATGTCCAACATATCCCCAGATAGCTTGGATCTGAGCGCTCAATATGTCCAATGTTAAAAGTGCCCTATAGTACAAGGAAGGGTGAGGTCAGAAAACAGCAAAAAATAGGTATTTAACCCCATCGACTTAGTACATGGTGGCAATCACAGAGGTCAGACGTTTCTTGTAGTTGGCCACCGGGTTTGTACACATCTCAGAAGGGATTTTGTCCCACTCCTCTTTGCAGATCCACTCAAAGTCATTAAGGAGCACTATAGGGCCAAGAACACAAACCTGTATTCCTGACCCTATAGGGTTAAAACCACCATCTAGCCCCATGCTTCCCTAAATATAGAAATCTTACTTTTATTCAAGTCTGGAGCTGCTTACTTTGTCACTGTTTCCTTTAGACCTGCCCACTGCCTGCTGACATCAGCAGAAGTGGTAGCCTGATCCACTCGCAATGCTTCCCCATAGGATTGGCTGAGACTGACAAAGAGGCATATCAGGAGCAGAGCCAGCACAATTCAAACACAGCCCTGGCCAATCAGCATCTCCTCAGAGAGAGATTAATTGAATCAATGAATCTCTATGAGTAAAGTTCAGTGTCTGCATGCAGAGGGAGGAGACACTGAATGTTTGGATGCATTTTAGAAAGCCATGACCCAGGAATGATCTCTAACAGCCACCTGAGGAGTGGCCAGTGAAGTTATTGCGAGGCTGTAATGTAAACACTGCATTTTCTCTGAAAAGACTGTGTTTACAGCAAAAAGCCTGAAGGTAATGATTCTACTCACCAGAACAAATTTAATAAGATGTAGTTGTTCTGGTGACTAGAGAGTGTCCCTTTAAGGTTTCGAGGCTGACATTTGGCAACTTGAACCTTCAGCTCCCTCCACAAAATTTTCTATGGGATTAAGGTCTGCAGACTAGCTCGGCCACCTCAGGACCTTAATGTGCTTCTTCTTGAGTCACTCCTTTGTTGTCTTGGCTGTGTGTTTTGGGTCATTGTCATGCTGGAATACCCATCCACGACCAATTTTCGAAGCCCTGGCTCAGGGAAGGAGGTTCTCACCCCCAGATTTTACCATGTATAGCCCCGTCCATCGTCCTTCTGATGCGGTGCAGTTGTCCTGCTTACTTAGCAGAAAAACACCCCCAAAACGGGGGTTTCCACCTCCATGCTTGATGGTGGGATGGTGAAGAGCTTAATTTTGGTCTCATCTGACCACAACACTTTCACCCAGTTCTCCTCTGAATCATTCAGATGTTCATTGGCAAACTTCAGATGGGCCTGTACATGAGCTTTCTTGAGCAGGAGGACCTTGCGGGTGCTGCAGGATTTCAGACCTTCACAGTGTAATGTGTTACCAATTGTTTTCTTGGTGACTATGGTCCCAGCTGCCTTGATATCATTAACAAGATCCTCTCGTGTAATTCTGGGCTGATTCCTCACAGTTTTCATGATCACTGAAACTCCACGAGGTAAGATCTTGCATGGAGTACCAGACCGAGGGAGACTGATTGTTATTTTGTGTTTCTTCCATTTGCGAATTATCGCACCAGCTGTTGTCACCATCAAGCTGCTTGGCGATGGTCTTGCAGCACATTTCAGCCCTGTGTAGGTCTACAATCTTGTCCATGACATACTTGGATAGCTCTTGGGTCTTGGCCATGGTGGAGAGTTTGGAATCTGATTGATTGCTTCTGTGGACAGGTATCTTTTATACAGGTAACAAGTTGAAATTAGGAGCACTCCCTTTAAGAGAGAGTGCTCCTAATCTCAGTTTTGTACCTGTATAAAAGACAGCCGGGAGCCAGAAATCTTGCTGATTGATAGGGAATCAAATACTAATTTCACTCATTGACATGCAAATCAATTTATAACTTTTTTGACATGCGTTTTTCTGGATTTTTTGTTATTCTGTCTCCCACTGTTAAAATACACCTACCATCAAAAAGTATAGACTGATCATTTCTTTGTCAGAGGGCAAACGTTCAAAATCAGAATGGGATCAAATACTTTCCCCCCTCACTGTATAGACATGTGCTTAGTAGATAGCTCCCTAATTTGGTATCCCTAAATATGGCCTTGCCATATATTTTAATAAGGTTATTTACTAAACAAATTAAATATCAAAATTAAGAAAAAACTTTTGAAGTTTAATGATATATATTAATAATATATTTTATGTGGGGCCCAAGAAAATTCCTCTTTGCAAAATGTGGTCCTGGTAGGCCAAAAGTTTGGACACCAATGATCTAAAAGATAATGGGTACAATTGATCTTCCATAAAAAAATGCATTATGGAAAAAAAAGTATTTATTTTTTAATTTTAACAAGTGGGGAAGGAAGCAAATCCAAGTAAAGAGACGTGCCAATGACAAAACGCTATATCACCAAGGTAATTTTGAAAAAATTTTTATCTGCATGCAGGACTGTCATCAGAAATGTTGGGGCCACTGACACAGCTCAAGGTCTCGGCCCCTAGGGCCCACTCCTGAGTCCGCCCACAGGGCCCACCCTCAGTTCGGCCACAAGGACACAGTGTGTGTGTTCCGAATGTGGTGTATGTATAGTGGATATAGAATGTGTAAAGTGGATGCGGTGTGTGTAATAGATACAGTGTGTATTACTGATGCAGTGTATAGCAGATGAAGGTTGTATGTTTTTGTAATGGATGTAGTGTTTATGTGTATTAGATGCAGTGTGTGTTTGTGTAGGCGGTGTAGTGTGTACATAGTGAATGCAGTGTGTATGTGTACTGGATGCAGTGATTGTGTATAATAGATGCAGGGTCTGTTTGTAGTGGTGCAGGGTCTGTGTGCAGTGGTGCAGAATAAGGGTGTGCGTAGTAGATGTAGTGTGTGTATTGTAAATGCAGAGTGTGTGTGTGTGTGTGTGTAGTTCAGTGCTTGTATGTAGAGAATGCTGGGAGTGTGTTTGTGTAGTGGATGCAGTGTGTGTGTTTGTGTAGTGAATGCAGAGTTTGTTTTTGTGTATTGGTGTAGTGGATGCAGAGTATGTATTTGTGTAATGAATGTAGCATTTGTGTGTATTACATGCAGTGAGTGTATAGTAAATGCAGAGTGTGTTTGTGTAGTGGATGTAGTGTGTGTATAGTGAATGCAGAGTGTGTGTAAATGTTGTGTAAAACAGGTTATGCATTATGAGGGAGGAAAGCATCTTTTGTTTACATTTATTTTCATTAAGTGTATTGCCCCCTCCCTGCTTCTTACCTATAACCAGAGAGGGGGGGCATTGAATACCCTGGTGGTCCGGGGAGAGTGTCAGGAGCTGTACACTGTAGAGGGACCCCAGCACACTCTGGCGTCTTCAGTTCCCAGCAGCTCCTCTCTGTCTCTGTAACTCTCACGGGCCTTGCCTGCGGCCCACAGAGCATTGCCATGGTAACCGGTGGCACCGCTTTGACAGCTGCATGGCTCACTAGAGTTAGAGAGACAGTGAGAGGAGCTGCTGGGAAGTGAAAAGGCTCGAGGGTGCTTGGCACCTCAGCAGGAAATGTGGGTCCCGGGACTCCCTGAGCAGTCCGGCCTCCCCAGGACCATGACAACTGTCATGGTTGTTATTTCTTTCATCATCTTTCTACATTTTTCTATATTTTTTCAGTTTATTGGATTAGATTTGCCACTCATGTTTAAGGAATTCATATTGAATTGTTGTTTCAGGTGAAAAACAAACAATCTGTAGGCCATAAACTCTTTATCAGATAATACAAAGTAAAGTCTAAGTGCTCTGATACTCCTTGCTCTCTCACTTCTGTCTTACTATTGTTACCCTTCCACCTACCTGCAAAAAAAGTCCTGAGGTCCATCTGTAAACAGTTTTCAAGGAAGCGGCGAAGTGGCAGGATGTGTGAATTTAGTCTTGTCCAGTCTGTAAGGAAATCCTCAACCACATGGTGTATCCGGTCAGGCCGTGGGAGAGGCCAGTTCTCAGGACGCAATTTCATCTGCTTCTCTGTTACAGAAAAGATGGTGAAACAAATAGTGTCAGATAGTGTTCTGTTGCAAAAATTTTAATCTGAGCAGATAATGATTTAATTTTAATTCATATAAAAAATATTGTGATCTAAACATACATCCTGAAGCTTCATTGGCGATCCCCGGGCAAACTCCCCACCTGTGACGCACAGGAGCCTGGCTGTAAAGTCACAAAGGTTAGGGGGAGTGCTGTTTGAAGGTACATTCAGATTTAAGAAGCCCCTGTCCATTACAGAGAACTCCCCTTTGTATGCTCTTTAGCAGAGCTATGTATCAACCTCGTCCCACGTGTGGCTGACGGTTGTGAGATTCAGCTGAAGAAGCTCAGGCTGCTTGGTGGACAGTGCTGGGTACTAATTGGCTGAGAAGTGTCCCTGGTGGCACAGAGTACAGTTAGACTAAGTAGCTGGTTCAGGTCTAGATCTTAAGTACGGGAGCGGGCATCCCAATCCGGTTACATGCACTTTATAAAATAATAATGAAACAGTACATTATTACCAGCCACAGAGAGCAAAAAGCAAAACATCTGTCACATTCTCCAATAAATATGTTGAAAATGTAAATGATGATCGGTGAAAAGCAAGGTAACGATCACACTTGACAGAGAGTTGATGCATCACAACCAGCATAATTTAATTTGTTGTATCAATTCCTTCAATAAGACAAAAATGAGGTTTATTGTTTGCCCATCATTGACAATACAGTTACCGGCTATTGGATAAATGCTAATGTAACCACATTAGTGTAGGTAAAAAAAAATACAGATCCACAGCTAAAAAGTATACCAGCCATAGAGGAGGATTACAGTACTGAACAAGAATAAAAGAAAAATAAACTGTATAATCCCCCAAATCAGTCCTAGATGTACAAAGGTTTATATGGGTATCTCCATCTTAGCTCCTTGTCAATCATTCTTACAGCACCACCCTTTACAGCTGTCAATCAGCATAAAGAAAAGAAGAAGAACAATATTTCTATTTCACTTCCAATGCAATGCGTGCCCTGGCTGTGCCAGGCCTGAACTGGATTTAGATGTCAATTTAAAGTCTTTAATAAACAAAAACACAATACAAAGACGACAGTGAGAATGTGTTGGGACACAGCGGCTGCTCTACACATTGTTAAGATTCAGTCATAGGTTTGTTTCCGCTTCATTATCTTAAGAAAGTGTAGATATTGTGTTTTGGACACAAATATCCTCCAGGAATAAGTCTGGAATTATAATTTCGTACATTCAATATGTAAGGAGTATTACCTGTTGGTAACTGCTTGTAGTAATATATGACTGGATGCAAGAAATTAGACCGCCATGCTGCCATGGCCTCCCCAATAGCTCGGTTGTAATAGAACACGTCTTTATCTGGTCCAGAAAAATTCTTCCCATATTCCATTACGAGAACAAACAGGCCTGTGTCTTGTGCCTTCAATCCTGTGCTTTCCTCTAAATTAGGAAGAATTCCAGCAGGGACCTCCTCCAGATATTCAAAATTGTGGCCTTCACTATGAGAAGAGAAGAAATCCATTAGCATCGATGGGACAATAATTGCCAGGCCATGAGAGTGGCATTGGATGGAAGAAATATTTGTTCTATTTAGATATGTGCAAAATATTTTATTACGCAATCCCAAATAAAATTCCTAATAATTGTCAAATGAATCAATTCCGAATCGTTTTACCTGTGGAGTCTACAGGTGAGGATTAAGAGGAATGGTATTCTAGTCAAATAGTTTTTATTGAAAGTTTTAAATATATTAATTAACAAACATTTTACATTGTTTTTTGACAAATCACTTCATATGTTTTTTTTGCATTAGTCTAGTAATAACCACTACTAAAGCATATAGTGTGAAATTATTGACGTTTGTTGATAAAAAGCTAGAAATATATAAATGAGCATTATTGAAGGGGCTACTTTAATCACCATGACAATTTCAGAGATTTGAAGTGGTCATGGTGCTTGGAGTCTGTATACGTAGCGTTTCATATACAGTGTTAAAGTCCCTTAATCCCGAAGGTGTTACTCGATCTGCGGCAGCTTCATTGGGGTGTCATTAACCAGCCTAAAACAAGATTAAAATAGTTTTTCAGTTTTAGTAACTTTTTAATCATCGTTCCAGTTCAGGTGTGATATTATTGCTTATTATATATTCCCAGCTTATTATTAACAGTCTGGTGTGCTATTACAGGTCATATGATTCATATTCTTTGCGGTGGTTGTTTATTTTATTTTTTTGTATTTCAGTCTGATTAATGGTTTTTGACTCGTATTGTCCAATGTATGTTTTGTTCAGGGTTTTCACAACTTACAGGGACACAATCACCAACACTTTAGCTTAATGAAATGATTTGGGTGTATAGAGAATGCCCCTGCAGTCACACTGCTCACTTCTTTGCCATTTAAGAATTAAATCGCTTTTTTTCTGTTTATGCAGCCCCAGCCACATCTCCCCTGACAGTGACTTACTCTCGCTGTCTTCCTATCCACTTTCTGTAAAATAGCTTAGCTCCCCTTATTGCACAGTGTGTTTAGAGACTTTGAAAGCCAAACAGTTATTTATTACTTACTTTATTTATAAAATATATTTTACCAGGAAGGATACATTAACCCCCTAAGGACTGAGGCAAAAGTACACGTTTTGATCAAAATAAAACGTAAACAAAACTTGGAATTTGCCTGTATGTCTGTTCAACCGTTATTCACCTCTTTCATATTAAGGGCACCCACACTTATTATATATCATTTTATTCAGGAGAAATAGGGCTTTAATTAAACATCATATATTTTGCTAAGAAATATAATTTAATATGAATAAAATATATTAAAAAAGTTAGAAATTAATAAATGTTAATTTTTTTAGTTCTGCATGACATTTGAACTGTGAATGTCATAATACTGTTTGCTTTTACTGGAATAAAATACACATTAGTATTCAGAAATGTCGCACGTGTAAAACTGTACCCCCCTATGTACGTGTTTTATGGTGTTTTGGGAAGTTACAGGGTCAAATGTAGCATGTTACATGTTTGTTTTTTCAGATTGAAATTCGCCAGATTGGTTACATTGCCTTTGAAACCGTATGGTAGCCCAGGAATGAGAAAAAAAACAAACATGATGGCATACCATTTGCAAAAGTAGAAAACCCAAGGTATTGCAAATGGGGTATGTCCAGTCTTTTTTAGAAGCCACTTAGTCACAAACACTGGCCAAAGTTAGCATTCATATTTGTTTGTGTGTGAAAAATGTAAAAAAAACAAACTAATTTGAATGCCAATTTTGGCTAGAGTTTCTGCGTGAGTGGCTACTAAAAAAGACTGGACATACCCCATTTGCAATACCTTGAGTTGTCTACTTTTGCAAATGGTATGCCATTATGGGGGTAATTTTCATTCCTGGGCTACCATACGGTCTCAGAGGCAAGGTAACCAATCTGGCGAATTTCAGTGTGAAAAATTTAACATGCTATATTTGACCCTGTAACTTTTGAAAACATGAGGGGTACTGTTATACTCAGGAGACTTAGCTGAACACAAATATTAGTGTTTCAAAACAGTAAAATGTATCACAACAATATCGTCAGTGTAAGTACCGTTTGTGCGTCACTTTCACTGATGAGATCATCGTTGTAATACATTTTACTGTTTTGAAACACTAATATGTGTTTAGCGAAGTCTCCCAAGTAAAATAGTACCCCCCTATGTACAGGTTTTATGGTGTCTTGGAAAGTGACAGGGTTAAATACAGATGATACTGGAAAAATGTGAATATCGTGCAAAAGTTCATTTATTTCAGAAATGCAGCTCATGAAAACCCCAAATCCACAATCTCAGTAAATTAGAATATTACATGCAATCAATAAAACAAGGAGTGTACATAGAACAATATCGGACCTCTGAAAAGTATAAGCATGCATATGGACTCAGTACTTGGTTTGGGCCCTTTTGCAGCAATTACTGCTTCAATGCGGCGTGGCATGGAAGCTATCAGCCTGTGGCACTGCTGAGGTGTTATGGAAGACCAGGATGCTTCAATAGCAGCCTTCAGCTCTTCTGCATTGTTAGGTCTCATGTCTCATCTTTTTCTTGGCAATGCCCCATAAATTCTCTATGGGGTTCAGGTCAGGCGAGTTTGCTGGCCAATAAAGCACAGTAATCCCACGGTCATTGAACCTGGCTTTGGTGCATTTGGCAGTGTGGGCAGGTGCCAAGTCCTGCTGGAAAATGAAGTCAGCATCCCCATAAAGCTCCTCATCTGCGAAAGGAACCAAGAAGTGCTCCAAAATCTCCTGGTAGACGTCCGCATTGACCCTGGACTTAATGAAGCACAGTGGACCAACACCAGCAGATGACATGGCTTCCCAAATCAACATAGACTGTGGAAACGTCACACTGGACTTCAAGCATCTTGCAGTGTGTGCCTCTCCATTCTTCCTCCAGACTCTAGGTCCTTTGTTTCCAAATGAAATGCAAAAGTTGCTCTCATCAGACCAGGTCTGTTTTTCTTTAGCCCAGGTAAGACGCTTCTGACGTTGTTTGTTGTTCAGGAGCGGATTGACAAGAGGAACACGACATCTGAAGCCCATGTCCAGGATCCATCTGTGTGTGGTGGCTCTTGATGCACTCACTCCAGCCTCAGTCCACTCCTTGTGAAAGTCCCCAACACATTTGAATGGCCTTTTCCTGACAATCCTCTTCAGGCTGCGGTCATCCCAGCTGCTTGTGCACCTTTTTCTTCCACACTTTTCCCTTCCACATAACTTTGATACAGCATTTTGGGAACATCCAACTTCCTTCGCAATTACATTTTGAGGCTTTCCCTCCTTATGGAGGGTGTCAATGATGGTTTTCTGCACAACTGTCAGGTCAGCAGTCTTCCCCATGATTGTGATTCCTACTGAACCAGACTGAGAGACCATTTAAAGGCTCAGAAACCCTTTGCACCTTTTCCCAATATTCTAATTTACGGAAATTGTGGATTTGGGATTTTCATGAGCTGTAAGCCATAAATATCGCAGTTATGACAAATCATGGCTTGAACTTGAATCTTGCTTTGCATGTAATGCGTCAGCTACCTCCACCTTTGTGCAAGGAGGAACAGGAGGAGCACTGCCAGAGCCCTGAAAAATGACCTCCAGCAGGCCACAAATGTGCATGTGTCTGCTCAAATGGTGGTATGAGGGCCCTACGTCCACACGTGTGGGTTGTGCTCGGCATGGACGATTGGTTCTCTTCCTCAACTGGACATGAGAGAAACCCGCATGGATTTCGCCATCCACATGGACATATTGAATCTGACTCACTCCCAGTCAACCCAGTTTCTGGTCTTTCATGGAATATTCGGTCCAGGCGGTGCTCCGCCTCCAGAGGACCAAGATGTCAGTCTTCAAAGAAAATACCAGGCATATGCTCTACAACCCGTGGGTCACACTTAGGGGCCCAACCCGGCAGATTGACCAGTTGTTATTCTATATGGAGGTCATACCTCCAGGATCCGGTACTATCAGCCACTCCAACATGACGCTTTCCCGGGTCTTTGGCCTGGTACGACCGAATCATGTGACCTTCGGACGAAGCTCATCTAAAACTTAATTGATGACTCCGACATAGGGGGACCTGGCCTTCCTAGGAGTTTCGGACCCCAACCAACTTCGGCCTGGACTCCGGAGGAGGGACCTCTTCACGCCAACTGCATGGAACTACTTGCAGGTTTGTTCACCATTCGCAGCTTCCCCATGGGAAGTATTATTGCTCGCTACCTTCAGGCATGGACTTATCACCGGTTGCCCACAACGGACTGCAGTCGGATCGCTATGTATTGCTTCTGGACAAGCATTCGTCATTTGTGACAGAATGCTTGCGGGATGAGACACTCATGTGGAGGACGGCTTCACCCGACCATGGAGAGACCCCAATGATTGGTTGACTCACCCTCCGGGGTCTCGAGTACTGGCCATATGGTGTGGTTCTCCAGCTGGCTGCCGGACCCTCAGTGAGGCGAGGGATGCGTTTTCCAAGGTTGGTCTCCTTCGGGGCGTACGCATCCAGTTTACCTACAGGATACTTTGGGTTTTGCTTCAGACCGAATTCCTGGAAGTGTCGTTTCGCCTGGCCACACCACTTTGGAGGAGTCTTCCGTGCTTTCCCCTTTTTGCTGGAGTTTGCCATGGGAAGGCAATCTACAACTCCCTGTCTCTTAATGTCCCGTGTGGGATCCACAGGGGTAGCCTGCCACGACTGGTGTCTGGAGAGATGTTTGTGTCCCTATGGCAGTCCTTATCATGGCTGTCCCCATTGTCTGGCTGAGTTGCCCTCTCAGGGTAGGATCGTATGGGGCCATTCACGTCCTATGTCAGCTAGTGGACGACTCATGTGCGTTTTCTCAAGATTCTGGCATTGCTAAGGATCTCTTGGTCTGCAGTCTACCAAGAGGAGTATACCGTACGGGAGCCCTATCTCTTACTATTCCTCAATTCTAGTGCTATCGTGTGTTCTGCATTTCCTTGAGGAATGACCTGATGACAAGGACTTGCCTTGCGCCAGTTTTTTCCCCGCTTACAGTTTTCCCCAGTACATCTTGTATTTCATTGCGTTCTGACGTCATGGTATCGATGTAGTGTCTTCTTCCTTCTTGCCGTTCAGTACATCGGCTTCTGCTCCACACATATTTCATTTCTATTCGTCCTCTGTGTCGTACCCCTATTCTCCGGATAGGCCACGGCTCTGTTGACAGGTTGTACATGACCATGTAGATCCAGGATCTGGTTCTTTCGTCAGTCTACTCTTTCGACAGCTGTTGATTTCTGCGTACGGCCGTTTTGGACTGTTTCTGCATCTTTGCTCGCCCATTGGATTTGGTGGATCCTCTCATTGGCTGACCTCGAGAGTTCCTCTGGGACACTTTTGGTTCGGGGTGCTGTCACCTCAACAACTTTGGAAGCTGTTGGGTCCCTTCTGCATTTTCTTTACACCACTGCTTGGTTTAGGGAATCGGTTTTTCCATTCTCCTTTTATTTCAGTCCTCTATCTCATATTGCTTCTGGTTCTACTATTTGGGCGTTAAAATTGCAAATATGAAGCCTCCTGTCCTGCCATAAAATTAGAGATTATTCTAGCCTCAGTGAGGGAATAATCTAAATTTTATTAAAGACAGGAGGCGAATATTTCCCACCCCTTTTTTTACATTCCCTCCCTGGATTTGGGTCTTATTCTATTATAAATAATTGGGGATATTGTTATGTTTTGTGAATGCGTGGTTTTACATAATAAAGGTTATTTCTATTATTCAGTGATGATTGTCCGTGTGCGTTTTATTCATCATGTTTGTGTTGTAATTATGTTTCGTCAATGCCTTTTAGTTTAGGTACTTACTAGGTCTTCATAAGATCTGTAGACTTTGTTTATTCATCAGGTATTATGATGTGCAAGTGATATTGTATGGATATGAAATCTTGCCTTGACAGTTTACTTTCACAATGTTTTCTGTTTTCTTGCAGTGTAATCTGTTTTCTCTCTGGGCTTGACGATTGTTTCTCTGGATGTGTCTGCTACAAAGTGGATTCGTTGGTTTCCTTGCTCTCCTTCTCGACCTCAAAGAAAGAGGGCGTGGAAAAGCCTGCTTAGGGGTTTTATACTACTGTTGCTTTGTTCTGATTGGTTGAAAAGTTCTGTTAACTATTTCTTTGCTGCTGGAGGTTTCAGTAAAGAAAGTAAAGCAAATATCTGCCTCCTGTCTTTAATAAAATTTAGATTATTCCCTCACCGAGGCTAGAATAATCCCCAATTGCTGCAAAAGGGGCCCAAACCAAGTACTGAGTCCATATGCATGCTTATACTTTTCAGAGGTCCGATATTGTTCTATGTACACTACTTGTTTTATTGATTGCATGTAATATTCTAATTGAGAGTGTTGATTTGGGGTTTTCATGAGCTGTAAGCCATAATCATCGCACTTATGACAAATCACGGCTTGAACTATCTTGCTTTGCATGTAATGCGTCTATCTCATATATAAGTTTCCCCTTTTACGTTACATTACTGAAATAAATTAACTTTTGCACGATATTCTAATTTTTTGAGTATCACCTGTATTAATATTTAAATTCACTTAGACAGTGTATGTGTATGCATGTGTAAGTGTATATTATATATATATATATATATACACACACACACACAGGGAGTGCAGAATTATTAGGCAAGTTGTATTTTTTAGGATTAATTTTATTATTGAACAACAACCATGTTCTCAATGAACCCAAAAAACTCATTAATATCAAAGCTGAATATTTTTGGAAGTAGTTTTTAGTTTGTTTTTAGTTATAGCTATGTTAGGGGGATATCTGTGTGTGCAGGTGACTATTACTGTGCATAATTATTAGGCAACTTAACAAAAACAAATATATACCCATTTCAATTATTTATTATTACCAGTGAAACCAATATAACATCTCAACATTCACAAATATACATTTCTGACATTCAAAAACAAAACAAAAACAAATCAGTGACCAATATAGCCACCTTTCTTTGCAAGGACACTCAAAAAGCCTGCCATCCATGGATTCTGTCAGTGTTTTGATCTGTTCACCATCAACATTGCGTGCAGCAGCAACCACAGCCTCCCAGACACTGTTCAGAGAGGTGTACTGTTTTCCCTCCTTGTAAATCTCACATTTGATGATGGACCACAGGTTCTCAATGGGGTTCAGATCAGGTGAACAAGGAGGCCATGTCATTAGATTTTCTTCTTTTATACCCTTTCTTGCCAGCCACGCTGTGGAGTACTTGGACGCGTGTGATGGAGCATTGTCCTGCATGAAAATCATGTTTTTCTTGAAGGATGCAGACTTCTTCCTGTACCACTGCTTGAAGAAGGTGTCTTCCAGGAACTGGCAGTAGGACTGGGAGTTGAGCTTGACTCCATCCTCAACCCGAAAAGGCCCCACAAGCTCATCTTTGATGATACCAGCCCAAACCAGTACTCCACCTCCACCTTGCTGGCGTCTGAGTCGGACTGGAGCTCTCTGCCCTTTACCAATCCAGCCACGGGCCCATCCATCTGGCCCATCAAGACTCACTCTCATTTCATCAGTCCATAAAACCTTAGAAAAATCAGTCTTGAGATATTTCTTGGCCCAGTCTTGACGTTTCAGCTTGTGTGTCTTGTTCAGTGGTGGTCGTCTTTCAGCCTTTCTTACCTTGGCCATGTCTCTGAGTATTGCACACCTTGTGCTTTTGGGCACTCCAGTGATGTTGCAGCTCTGAAATATGGCCAAACTGGTGGCAAGTGGCATCGTGGCAGCTGCACGCTTGACTTTTCTCAGTTCATGGGCAGTTATTTTGCGCCTTTGTTTTTCCACACGCTTCTTGCGACCCTGTTGACTATTTTGAATGAAACGCTTGATTGTTCGATGATCACGCTTCAGAAGCTTTGCAATTTTAAGAGTGCTGCATCCCTCTGCAAGATATCTCACTATTTTTGACTTTTCTGAGCCTGTCAAGTCCTTCTTTTGACCCATTTTGCCAAAGGAAAGGAAGTTGCCTAATAATTATGCACACCTGATATAGGGTGTTGATGTCATTAGACCACACCCCTTCTCATTACAGAGATGCACATCACCTAATATGCTTAATTGGTAGTAGGCTTTCGAGCCTTTACAGCTTGGAGTAAGACAACATGCATAAAGAGGATGATGTGGTCAAAATACTCATTTGCCTAATAATTCTGCACTCCCTGTATACATACATACATACACACACACACACACAAATGGAACAAATTGAGAGCACTCATTGGATTTAGTAAACAAAAAAATATATTAAATCAAACGCATATAAATCAACGTTTCGACCGTCTAGCGGTCTTTATCAAGACCAGTGAGTGCTCTCAATTTGTTCCATTTGTATATTTTGCACGGAGAGGCACCTGGTCATTGCTGAATTAATGCTTTTGTTATGGGATGAGTGCCAGAAACTATTGTGAATATATATATATATATATATATATATATATATATATATATATATATATATATATATATATATATATATATATATATATATATATATATTTTATTTTACACGGTTTAAAAAAAAAACTGTATTAACCTTTTTTCCAGGCAGCAGGGGGACTACCAGTCATTATAGGCACTCCCCCTGCTGGCACTGCTACGGACGGCTATTCCATCCATGTGCTCGTGAGGTCATCGCAAGGACCTCGCGATCACATGGCCCAGAAGGGCCGGATCTGCAGCAGGGGGACTCCCTGGGATGTCAGGTAAGTCCCCCCCATCGTTATCGCCGGTGAACAGGTAAGTGAGAAGGACGGCGTGGACGTGCTATGCCGCCCGCCGGCGTTTAGAGCCAGGTCCCCAAGGACGGCATTGCACGGCCGCCGTCCTTAAGGGGTTAAGATTTCTATCGTTTTCATGTATGTCCTGGGTCAATTCTAAACTATTAGCAATTTTGTTCAATACTGTTAGAGAAACTATCCAAATTATATATCTACGGAAGTCACAGTTCAAGTCTATAGAAATTTTGTAGATCAATCATTTGGAATTTTTTTTTTTTTTTTAACAGTATTAAGTCATTTAAAAAAAAAATCTTTGAAATTGAGGCCTTAAAGGGACACTTCACTGCCCAAATACAACAATTAATCACTATTTAGTAGATATACCCCAAATGAAAACATGAATGCATTTCACTTTGCACATTTCGACTGGGTGTATATCCAAAAAAGGCCCTCCCCCTTTTTGCCCCAGCCTGGACTTTCTGTAGTTGTCCAATCACAGCATTCCCAATGCAGCTCAATGAGAAGTCTTTACAGGGCAGTTGTTCTGGGCAATAGCTGCCTCTTGAGTTTAGCTCCACTGAGCTAACCAAACCAGGAAGTAACATAACCTGTTTGACCTCCAGGGTGTGTAACAAGTTTAGTTCATAAAAGTGCCAGTTTCTATTGAAATCTGCACTTTTTGTAAAATGAAAAAAAAGAGGACACACTGTTCACACATACAGTACTTCAGCAAGCTATAATGCTTTAAGGGTCCTGAGTGTCCCTTTAATTATAAATGTTTTACACATTCCAAACAATCTGTCTTAGATATATTATAGTAGATCAACCAAATGGGACAGCTTAACATTTTATGGTCCGTTATCAGGGAAATATAAACAATGTATAATTCACATAGAAATATCAATAAAGAATATTTAACATAACATTCTTACTCTCCAATGATCACAACATCAGCCAGGACTTCAAACATCTGGTAGAGACCTGATGCTTCATTCATACGTTTTATAAGAACATTGAGGAGCTGCGAGATAGGGTAGTGTGTTGCCTTCCAAGGAATGTTGTGGTAGCGATATTCAGTCAAGCGGTGGACGGAGCGAGCTGAGAATGAGCAGAACGAGTTAATTGCAAATCGGATTAATGGAACAGAAAAAAAAAAAAAAGTAGGAATTTCCCAAGAGATTACCCTTAATTGAATCCACTATAACAAGGTAAAATGCAAACTTTATTAATTGAAATAAAACCTATATAAACAGCCCACCAAAAATAGCTCTACAAACGTGATTGCATGAAAAAGCTACTGCGGTTAGTAGACTATTCCTACTGAATTAGAGAGATATATAGAGTGTAGCTGTATTATAAATACTAAAAGTATTCCTATATTGGAAGTAAACTAGGAACAAAAGGAAGGAGAGAATATGAATAAATCTCCTCTTTCGACCCCTTCCCGGCCTTGGACGTATCAGGTACGTCCAACAAAAAAATGGTTCTTAAAGGATCACTATAGGGTCAGGAACACAAACATGTATTCCTGACCCTATAGTGTTAAAACCGCCATCTAGCCCCCCTGGGCCCCTTATGCCTCCATAAATATAGCTCAATCTTACTGTATTCAAGCCAGAAGCTGTAACTCTGCATGCTGTTAGACTCAGAAAAACAAGCAGTCTGCTGACATCATCAGTCTGATCCAATCACAATGTTTCCCCATAGGATTGGCTGAGACTGACAAAGAGGCAGATCAGGGGCAGAGCCAGCATGATTCAAACACAGACGTGGCCAATCAGCATCTCCTCAGAGATACATTGAATCAATGAATCTCTATGAGGAAAGTTCAGTGTCTCCATGCAGAGGGAGGAGACACTGAATGTTTGGATGCATTATAGGCAGCCATAACCCAGGAAGGATCTCTAACAGCCATCTGAGGAGTGGCCAGTGAAGTTATCACTAGGCTGTAATATAAACACTACATTTTCTCTGAAAAGACAGTGTTTACAGCAAAAAGCCTGAAGGTAATTCCACTCACCAGAACTAATTCAATAAGCTGTAGTTGTTCTGGTGACTATAGTGTCCCTTTAAGGACCGTAGACGTACCGGATATGTTCACGGTGAATTAGAGCTCTGGCAGCGATCATGATCGTTTCCAGCTGCTCAAACAGTATTGCTCAATACCCCCCCCCCCCTCACTGACAGGCCGCCGGGTGATCGCTCCCCTGGAGCAATCACTTCCGGGTTTCCCCACGTGGTGCCCGGCAGTGAGGCAGAGCACTGGAAGCCATCAGGCAGGCTTCTGATGCTCTGCCTGTGCTGAGTGCCTCAAGGGGCACTCAGTGAAGATAAATTAAATAAAAAAATAAATTTTTTAAATAAATTAACCCCTTCCCTCGTGCTCTCTCCATATAAACTTACCCGATAGCCGCTGTTCCCCTGCCGGCAATCACTGTTGTTCTTCTATGGGGGGGGACTGTCTGATAGCCCAGACAGTCCCCTCTCTGCAAATTAGGACCCCCAGGGGCCATGTGATCGCTCTGAAAAAGCAGTCACATTGCCACTATAGGTGTCCATAGTGCGGTCAGCAGGGGGACTACCTGTCTGCTGGTCAAAGAAGTAAAAAATAAAAATTTAAATAAAGTTAATAAATAATATATTGGTCTTGAAAAAAGTCTGCATAGACTGAAATGTCGACTATTGTGTTTATCACTGTATTTGCTTAATAAAGCAACAGTTTGAATTTACTTTATCAAGACTCCAGAGTGCTCTCTACTAGGTATATATATTTTGGTTGGAGATTGTGCACCGGAGCACAAAAAGACCGGGAACATCGAGTGCTGGGACCTGGAAATAAAATTATATATATATATATATACACACACACACACACACACACACACACACACACACACACACACGTGTTCGGGGCATTGTAATGTTAATGTACACTGTGTATTGACGTAACCTGTATATGGGACAAAGTCGGTTGAAGTGTGCCGAAACGGACATATGCGGTAGGCTAGTAAATAATAAAGTGGGCCCAGTCCAGTAGAGTAAAAGAGTTAAGGGAGTGGAAGGTGGGGCATTCAGGAATGTAAGACCACTACGGTAGTGCAGGTAAAGGGGGAGTCCCTTAAGTAGGTCCCACAACTCCAGGCAAAGCCTATACATTTGTGTGCAGGGCAACCATTGTGATGTTAATGTATACTGTGACGTAACCTGTATATAGGACAAAGTCAGTTGATGTGTGCTGAAACTGACGTATGCGGTAGGCCAGTAAATAAAGTGGGCAAAAGTAGAAGCATCATGCTAAAGAATATTTATTAATACATGGAACATAATACAAAGGATATACCTCAAGATGACAATTTTACAAAAGCTGACCTCATTTCTAGCACAGGTTGAGGAATGTACACAAAGAAAGCGGATGACTTCCAACAACCTAAGGACTAACATCATACTAAGTGTATTATTATTATTATTAATATATATATATATATATATATATATATATATATATATATATATATATATAAATAATATACACAAGATCCAGCGCACTCACCTATCCACTAAACAGCAACTTCAATGTTGAAAGATTTTATTTGTTTTTTTTAAAACACCTAATCTAGGCAAAAATAATGGGGGTTTAGTTACATTATATGATCATACAGTGCATAAGCCTGCCACAACGTCAATGTACCCCATCTTTGGCAGGTCCTACACCAACAGCCTAATGTCTGCTCTTATGAGATTAACCTACTTGGGGAAAGAAATTCCATCTGGGGCTCTCTGCAGTACAAGGCTAAATAGGGCCCTGGGATGAGGCACCTGTGACAGGGAGGGGTGCAAAACCAAGGAGTTGGCTAGACTCCCAATTGGGAGTCTAGCCAACTCCTTGGTTTTGCACCCCTCCCTGTCACAGGTGCCTCATAATTACCATATATACTGTGCTGAAAAACCCCCACTCGTCTTATACTCGAGTGAGTGTCTGTATTATGGCAACTTACATTGCCATAATACAGATAAGGACCGCCGGGCTCGTTACAAGCCCGGCGGTTAGGATACAAATGTTCACACCAATCAATCAGAACATTCGCAACACAAGGTTAAAACCTCAAGGGAAGTAATTATTGAAGTCTCCCCTGGGTGGCTGCCATTTCGGATAGGCGAACGCGACCCAGGGGAGACTTCAATAATTACTTCCCTTGAGGTTTTAACCTTGTGTTGCGAATGTTCTGATTGATTGGTGTGAACATTCTAATGGGGTAACGGGGTGGTCCGCGTTCGGGAGGCAAACGGGCTCCGTTCGCATGATCGCTACCGAAGGTCAAGAGGGCAAAATATATGCCTACAAATACACCGGGAAACAGTGGGATCACACAATACACTGGAAAACAACACATATAAGCAGTGGGCACCACTTGCTCCTTCCTCCTTTTGTTCCTAGTTTACTTCCAATATAGGAATACTTTTAGTATTTTTAATACAGCAACACTCTATATATCTCTCTAATTCAATAGGAATAGTCTATGAATCACAGTAGCTTTTTCACACTAACACGTTTGTAGAGCAGACTATTTTTGATGGGCTGTTTATATAGGTTTTATTTCAATTAATAAAGTTTACATTTTACCTTGATATAGTGGCTTCAATTAATGGTAATTTCTTGGGAAATTCCCACTTTATTGGGTCTTTCTCAAACTCGCCTTCATTATTGTCTTACCTAGGGTTACCCCCTGATTACCAATTTCCGAGACTCCTTCATATAATTTATGTTTAGGAATCTCCTCTATTTTTATTTGATGGAACAGAAAACCCAATTAACAGTCAGGCACTTTGGTGCATACCCAAAAAAATAATAATCAGAAAATATATGGAGATACTTAAAAAAAAAAATAGCGAAGAGGGCTGTAGTTGTACTTGGAGTGTTCCTTTAAAATTAATCATCATTTGCCCTCTCTTTCACCAGTCTGTACACCTGGATCACAGAAGAGAAATGTTGTTGAAAATGGTCTTTAAAGGGCTCCAAACAAAAAAACGTGGTTTAATAAAACACCTTTTCTAGTAAGAATAACTCCTACTGGCATGCTATCCCCCCACCCCATGAAAAAAAAAAAGAAATAATTAAAGAAAAACCTCACCTGGATCTAGCACTGAAACCAGGAGTGATGACCCAGAGGACGAGCAACAGGAGATATTAAGTGGTACGGAAGGGGTGTGCGGATGATATATGTCACATTTGCACAGAATTTGCATTATCCACCCAGATCTATTGTTTCAGGGTGACTAATGATGCCCCAGTGACGTGAAGGTGGAGTTACACGGCCGGTATCCAAGGTGTTTATCTCTGTATGTGCAGCCTTGCATAATTAAGCAGGCAGCATTAATGCAAATATTTCCCTACAAGTTGCATTTGATGATGTGTGATGACCTCATGTGAATCTCTGTCATTGCAGGGGAAGCACCTCTAGCAGTTGTTACAAAAACAGCCACTAGAGGGGAGCTTAGCCAACTGCAAGGTTAAAACTACAGATCCACTGCACCCAGGCCCCTTCATCACAAAGATGTCTTTAGTTTAATCATTTATTTAATAACTGCATTCATATATAGTGTAGCATTACGGCTAGTTATGACACTGCAATGCAAAACCAAAGAAAAAAGAAAAGATGGATAGACGTAAGGATGTGACAGATAGTAGATGAGAGGTAACGTACCGGTGTATCGAAATCCATGTATGAACCCACCAGCAGATTTACGAAAGTCGATCCCATGGCTGGCCGTGCCCACCACGAAGAGACCTCTTGTGTGTTTTGCTTCATAATTGGCTTTAAGCAATGGATATTTTCTTTTTCCTCCACGTGCCTGTTTTAATCTCACTGAACTAAGTTAAAAGCGAAAATATAAACAAACAACTTTACCTGGTTTTAGATTGTGGCCTTTCTACATGCATCAGAAACATTTATCCAATAATTGTAGTCCGATAATTGCCATTTAGACTTCCTGGTACAATGAGGGAGATGGTGAATACAAGCCCTGCATTATGTTAAATTACTTTATGATGACTGACTGTTAGAATACTGAGACTTTGTGTATGTATGTGGCTGTGAAGTGTCTTATCAAGCTCCAGAATTTTACATGTGCACCCTGCTGGTTAGCCAGTGCAGTACGGGTGGTACAGTGAGGTGAAAAAGTATTTGTTCCCCTGCTGCTTTTGAACATTTGTCCACCGACAGAGAAATGACTAGTCTATAATTTTAATGGTTGGAGTATTTTAACAGTGAGAGACAGGATAACAAAAAAATAAAAACCAAAAAAAAAAAACGCCTTTCAAAAACGTTATAAAATTGATTTGCATGTCAATGAGTGAAATAAGTATTTGATGCCCCATCAAGCAGCAGGATTTCTGGCTCCCAGGTGTCTTTTAGACAGGTAACAAGCCGAGATTAGGAGCACTCTCTTAAAGGGAGTGCTCCTAATTTCAGCTTGTTAACTGTATAAAAGATGCCTCTCCAAAGAAGCAATCAATCCGATTCCAAACTCTCCACCATGGCCAAGACCCATCCAAGTATGTCATGGACAAGATTGTAGACCTACACAGGGCTGAAATGTGCTACAAGACCATCACCTAGCAGATTGGTGGTGAAAACAGCTGGTGCGATAATTCGCAAATGGAAGAAACACAAAATAACAATCAGTCTCCCTCGGCCTGGTGCTCCATGCAAGATCTCACCTTGTGGAGTTTCAATGATCATGAGAAGGGTGAGGAATCAGCCAAGAACTACACGGGAGGATCTGGTTAATGAGCTCAAGGCAGCTGGGACCATAGTCACCAAGAAAACAATTGGTAACACACTATGCCATGAAGGACTGAAATCCTGCAGTGCCCGCAAGGTCCCCCTGCTCACGAAAGCACATGTACAGGTCCATCTGAAGTTTGCCAATGAACAACCGATTGAGTCAGAGGAAAAAGTGTTGTGGTCAGATGAGACCAAAATCATGCTCTTTGGGGAAGGAGGAATGCTGCCTATGACCCCAAGAGCACCATCCCCACCGTCAAACATGGAGGTGGAAACACTGTGCTTTGGGGGTGTTTTTCTGCTAAGGGAAAAGGACTACTGCACCGCATCAAAGGGATGATGGACAGGGCCATGTACCGTCAAATCTTGGCTAAGAACCTCCTTCCCTCATCTAGGGCATTGAAAATGGGTCATGGATGGGTATTCCAGCATGACAATGACCAAAACACACAGCCAAGGCAACAAAGGAGTGGATCATAAAAAAGCACATTAAGGTCCTGGAGTAGCCTAGCCAGTCTCCAGACCTTAATCCCATAGAAAATCTGTGAAGGGAGCTGAAGATTCGAGTTGTCAAACGTCAGCCTTGAAACCTTAATGATTCGGAGAGGATCTGCAAAAAGGAGTGGGACAAAATCCCTCCATGATGTGTGTGCAAGCCTGGTGGCCAAATACAAGAAACGTCTGACATTTGTGATTCCCGACAAAAGTCCACCAAAGTCGAATGGGTCAAATACTTATTTCACTCATTGACATGCAAGTAAATTTATAACTTTTTTGACATGCATTTTCTGTCTCTGACCATTAAAATTATAGACTGATCATTTGTCAGTGGGCAAACTTCAATATCAGCAGTGGATCAAATACGTTTCTCCCCTCCCTCTATATAACCCTTAGAACTTTCTAATTTTCTGCATGAGGTTGTGTGACACTGCAAAATACATGCCACACCTAGTGAGCTCATTTTAAAGAGTATACAACCCACAGTATGGAAATAAAAAACAAATACAACACCACAAGATAACTGAAGTGTAGTGAATATAGTGAGTAAGTATAAAATATACTTATCTTAAATAAACAAGAAAAAGTAGCCTCCCAAGATCGTAACCCAATATATGTAGCTAAACAAAGTTTAACCCACAGTATGGAGCTCTCCTTTCTTCAAACGCTTTATCTGGGGCCTGGTCTGGAACCCCTAGCAACTTAAATGAAAACATTTTTTTATTTAAAAAAATTCCATGTATTATAGTCTCTATGTATTATTTTGTAATGCATACGTAAAAGTTAATATACCTTTTCAGGGCATCTCCCGGCATAACGTTACTGAATAAATGTCAACCATCTTTAAGTCCTCTTTGACCAGAAGAACATATTATCAATTCAAAAACCGTGCAGGTCATGGAGAACTAGTGCCGGTTAATAAATTATGCCATTATGAGCAAATGTTGGTCTACCAAACAGCAAATAGAGTAACTTCCGGGTGACTTTTGGATAACTGACACTCAATGTCCTGACGCTATGCATGAGGACATCGTGTCACCCAAAACCCCATAGGAAAGCATTATAGAATGCCTTCCTATGGTGGAAGTCCTAATGCGAGTGAGGCACTTGCCAAGCATGCGCATTAGGTCCACCCTGCCGATGTCCTGAGTTTATTACCCTTTAGAATACCTCCAAGCTGGGTTAATCCTTTGCACTCTTCTTTTTATAAATTTATAAAAGGTTTAAAAAAAATAAAAAAATAAAAAAAAGACCCATAGTAAGCTCTAAGTTGTTATCAAGGAAATTAGACGACAGGGGATTAGGCTTATTCTGCCTGAACAAATGTGTTCGAGCCTCTATATTGGCCCATGCTATGCACACTTTTAATGAAAGCTGGTATAAACTTAAATCCAAGAGAATAGACTGCTTTAGATTTGTGGCTTCAATCTTTTGGTTACCTCAATAATTTTTATTTTATTTATTTTTATTTTTTAAGTTTTTCCCTTTTTTAAAATCACATCTTAACCCCTTCAGGACCGGACTGTTTTTGCAATCTTTGTGCGTTAAGGACCAGAGCTATTTTAACACTTTTGTGGTGTTTGTGTTTAGCTGTAATTTTTCGCTCTCTCATTTACTGTTCTGATACAAATTATATAATTTTTTTTTCAGGACAAAAAGGGCTTTCTTTACATACTATTATTTTTATCATGTCATAATTTAATTTAAAAAATAAAAATAATAAGGTATGGTGAAAAAAAAAAAAAAAAGTTGACTTATACTTAAAAAAAAAATCTTTTACTGATCTACAAAATCGAATGAAAAACTGCTAAATAGATTCAAAATTTTGTCCTGAGTTTAAAAACACCCAATATTTATGTTTTTTTTTGCTTTTATTTGCAAGTTATAGGGCGTTTGTGATGGGTTTGTGTAATGTCTCTTTAATTGGAACTCAACTGCAGAAACAATAAGTTTCACCTCCTTTTATATTGAAGTGAACAAGGTTGACTGTATCTTTAAATACACATGCAGGGAAGAAAAGCAATGCTAGTTCCAACTTAATTAAGATGGAATGATTTATGAGAATTGTGTTAATGAAGCTGGACAGGTTTGCAATTAGAATAAATTGATATTTGCAGGAAGAATTAGACTTAGTAGAAATCCCTTATTGACAAGAGAGAATTTTAGTGAAATTAATTAATATGAATTGGTTTCCTTGGAAAAAAAAAGGATTACTTAACTTAGAGGCAGTTCTGGCATTGGAAGGGTTAATTCACCCAATGGAGGAGAGATTAGGAGTCTCTATGAATAAGCTGAGCGTTAGGAGTGGAGAGTAAGGAAGTCCGTTTTTACAAGCCGAGGTCTGGAAGAGGAGAAGGTAGAAGTCCGTTTTCACTAGCCGAGGTCTGGGAGTGGAGAAGGTAGAAGTCCGTTTTCACTAGCCGAGGTCTGGGAGTGGAGAAGGTAGAAGTCCGTTTTCCAAGCCGAGGTCGAGAAGTGGAGATGGTAGAAATCTGTTTACAAGCCGAGGTCGGGAGAGGAGTGGAGCCGGGAGCATTCAGTAGAGCAGCTGATCTCAATGCAGTACCTGCGTGAATAATCCAGCCCTTTGAATCTGGCGCGGTCTTCCTAAGTATCGTGGAAGGACCGCGTCAGAGAAAGGGGCGGGGCTAAGCGCCGTGAACCCGGAAGTGGGTTCCGGCGGCAGTATGAATGATAGAGTATACCTGACAGCGTTAAGTAGGAAACTGCGGTTTCAAAAAGTACATTTTTCAAATGTATCAATAGTGACATTGTAACACTGTTATGTCATAAATCTCCAAAAAACACCCCACATGTATATATTTTTCTTAAACTAGATAACCCAGGGTATTCATCTAAGAATATTTTGATACTTTCTAAGCAGCCATTTTACCACAAACCTTTGCCAACCTTTGCATAGGTAGTTTTTATTATTATTTTTTTACCACACACATTGTACTTGAGGCGTGAATTAACAGATCCTGTTATGTGTCACTGTCAAACAACACCCCAATATGTGTTCAGCAAGATCCCCCGAGTACAGGGATACCACCCACGCATATGCCCGTCGGGTTCTTTGGGGGCTAAAAGGCCACGTTTGGCAGGTGCGCTTATCAGTTTCCCAACTTGGAATTTTGACATGTAATCAACCTGCGCCCATGTCCCATTTGAGCAAATGTATTTTACCCCCATCCAACCATATATTTTTGAAAAGTAGACAACCCAGGGTATTTTAAATGGTGGTATTTTAACACTTCATGCACTGAATTCTACCACCAGCCTTTGTCAAACTTTTGGGTAGTAATCTTTTTTTTGTTTCTTTGTCACACACATTGTACTTTAGGCATGAATTAAACAGATCCTGTTATGTGTCACTGCCAAACACTATCCAATATGTTCAGCAACATCTCCCAAGTACAGTGATACCCCCATGTATAGGGTTGCTGGGTTGTTTGGAGGCCAAAAGGCAACAATCAGAACTTGTACAGGTCAGTTTTTCCAACTTGATATATAAGTATGCTTGGTCGATCTTCAGTTTGACATATTTTTGCACCCCACAGTTAATATTACCATCATGAAAGTATATATTTTTATAAAGTAGACATCAAAGGTTATAGAAGATGGGGTGTTTTGACTTCTTTCCCCCAACCATTTTGCCCCCCCAAAGAAAGTGTAGTGGTAATTTATTTTAATTTTGGTTTTTATGCACACGTCATCTGGTTTTGGCCAGCTGGTTATGTGTTACTGCCAGAAAACTTGTTAGCCCAAATGTGCAAGTAGCAAATGTACATTTAGCAGCAATCTTTAAACTGACTCCTGCAAATAGAATCTAACTGGAGATTTGGGGGAAGGAAACTGACTAACAAAAAATGTCTGCTTTCCAAAGAAACAAAAAAATAAAATAAAAATTCAGGAACACTTCTTACAACTGTTCTGTGTGGTACAGCTTGAAACATGTTCCTACACACAGTCCTGGTTTTGAAGGGCAATCAGGACAGTGAAAAGGGGTGTCTGTCCTTTTCCCGTTTTTAAAACAGACCCGGCAACGTTTCTGGGTTTTTTTTTTTCTAGCAGTTGGCGGTAACTTAAAAATAAAATGTCTGGACTCAGCTTGCACCGTTGTTGGAACTTGTCCATCTCCATAAATTGTTAAAGAAATTATTTTCAACTGAAATTGGAGAAAGGTGGTTTTCCCTGGATTATTTTTTTAAAAAAAGCAAAAATGAGTTGTGGGTTGCTATTTGCATCATATAGATAGCCACCTTTTTATACCATGCTTTGGTTTTTCGTAAAATAAGATATGGCTGCATCAGCTGATCAGCCAAATCAACACCCCCCATGTACTTATTATACGCCCTGATGCAAACCGGTTTGGACTCTACTCTGCCCCGGACAGAGACGTCTGACATGCGTTCGTCATGGATGGTGGTTAGCATGTTGACATCCTTCCTGTCCCTAAATTTTAGTGCAAGCACTTCAGCTTTGCAAAGTGCTTTACATTCGCCTTTTTTTAATTTTGCCTCTATGAGAAATCGTGGAAAGTCTTTGGAATTTTTTCTGGCAGTGCCGCAGGCCAGTGTCTGTAAATCATAATGTGTTTTAAACAGACAAACACTACTATAAAAATTATCCACATAAAGGTGGGAACCCTTATTGAACAAGGGGTTTAGTAGATCCCATACAAGTTTCCCACTTGTCCCCAGGGAGTCAGGACAGCCAGGAAGGTCCAGTTGACCATCTTTCCCGTCATATACACGAAAGGCAAACGTGTATCCACTTTCGCTCTCGCACAGTTTGTACAGTTTTATGCCATACCTACAGTGCTTTGAGGGGATGTTTTGTCTGAACCCTAATCTCCCTTTGTTTTTCATTAGAGATTCATCTATGGATAAATTTTGATGGGGGGGTATAAACATCTGAAAATTTGTCCTGAAAATGGTCTAGCAGTGGGCATATTTTATAAAGCCTATCGTATTGGGGGTGATCTCTAGGGTGACAGAGGGTATTGTCATTGAAATGTAAAAAGCTCAGCAGTAAGTCGTATCTGGCTCTAGGCATGGTTTGGGAGAATACTGGACTAGACATTACTGGGTTGGTGCTCCAGTATGGGCGAATCGATGGCTTCTTTATAATCCCCATGAGCATTGTAAGAGCCCAGAATTTTTTAAGCTCTGAGACATCTGTGGGATGCCAGTCATGCTCCCTGACTGTATAGCTACCTGGATTGTTTTCAATAAACTGGATAGCATACAAGTTAGTCTGGGAAGCAATCTTCTCCCAGATGGCATCCCCTAAAAATAGTTCTACATACTGCATTGGGGAGAAGCCATCCACATTAACATTAATGCCTGCATTGGCACTAAAAGGGGGGACGGTGGGCTCGGCTAACTTTGGGGGTACCCAGTCCTAATACCACATACGGCGTAGCAGAGGATGCACAGCTTCTTTCTTCAGCCGGCTCACATACAGATGGCATGTCATCTTGACTAGACGTGTCAGAAAACTGACCTGGGTCAAAATCTGACGCAGTGTCAGTGGTGTCAGAGTCTGACACCAAGAAGGCATATGCCTCCTGCAAGTTATATATACGCTGCATGTTTTACACACGACTAAAACAAAATTACAAAAACATTGTTTTTTCTACTAAAACAGACTAAACAGCAATCCCTAAACTAACTCCTGTCACAAAAATCTAACCCTTTAAGGGCAAAAAAAAAAAAAAAAGCCACAGACAGTACAAATGCACTGCTGTAACAGATCTGGCAGGGAAAGGTTAAAAAGGATTGTATAAAGCTCTATAAAGCTTCAGGACCGTCAGCGGTCCAAACACACGTTTGAAGGGGTTAAAAAAAAAAAAAATGGAACTAAATTAGTAATCTATTAATCTTAATTGGTATGAGGTTAAAACCAAGCTGGGCCTAACAGAATATTCTACCTTCTTTCAAAATAGAAACCAAAAAAAAAAGTTATTTGCGCACTATTCCAAATCCCTATGCACATTGAGATAAATGGAAGTTTTTAGTTCAACTTCGCTGGCCATTAGATGTAAACCTACCTGCCACGTCTAGGCAAGCCTCTTAGGTGGCTCCTACACTAACATTTCACCTTGCTTGCTTCAGCTTCAGTCAGAACTAATCTCTAATGAGACTAAGAGGGGTATTTTTCTAAACCCCTACATACTTATTAACCCTCAATAGGGAACATTTGGGGCGGGCGGCAGCACTGTAATTTTCAAAATCCAAATACTGGATCTATCCCTGTGGGTTTCTAAAGGAATTTAATTTGTGACGTACCTAATAAGCCATGGTAAAATGTAATGTTTCTTTGATTTGAAAAACAAATTTGGGATCTCAAGTAAAAGATTTCTTTAATTATCTTAAAGTTAGATCTTACATATTGAGAAAGCTTAGGTTTACAAATGAACCGCACAATTTACATTTTTTGAGCAAAACATTAAAAACTCGGATACCAAAAAAATAATATCGATATGTAACCAAATTATTATTCAAAGTAGAAAAACATTAAATCCACTGGCTATAGTAAAATGGAGTCAAGATCTGGATATATCAATTTATTTGAAAGACTCGTGGTCGCGATCCTGGGGACTGTCTGAACACAAATATTAGTGTTTCAATATTGTCAATGAAAGTGCATTTTTTTTGTATTTTTCACACACAAACGGTCACTGATGATATTGTTGTGATACGTTTTACTGTTTTGAAACATTAATATTTGTGTACAACTGCCTCCACCCTTAAGGGGTAGATATCTATAAAAATATTCACTGTCTGAATTAAAATGAGTTACACTATAAGCTCAACCGATTATATTTAGTTCCAAAAAAGGAACAAAATATTCCCCAATCAGTCTTCCTATAGCTGGAGATGAGGAACTGATTTTCTCCATATCTGGAATTGCCTCGTTATTAAAGAACTTTGTCAGGAGATAAGAATACAATTAAGTAAAATGTTAAAATGTGAGCTTCCATTAAGACCAGATCTAATGTCCTTACAGCTTCACTTACCCAACATCAAAAGAAAGGAATTGAATTTATTGACTCGCATACTTACCGTGATGGAGCTGAATATTGCAAGGAACTGGAAAAGTCCAATTAAACCTGATTGGTACTCAATTAAAAAAAAAATATCTCAAATTCTTATGAAAAATAAACAAACATTCTAACTCCTTTTAATATAAACATTTGCCACACAGGTTTCTGGGTGAATGTATAGAGAAGTTGAATTCATTATGAGAAATTAGGGTCAGTTCTGGGAGAAGTCTCCTCACGGTAAAGCAAGGGGCCCCCCTTCCCTCTCGTCCCTGGCAAGTGGTAATATTCTTTATTTTCTCTTGTACATGTAAAGTGTGTGTTCTTGATAGCAATCTAATGCAGAGATATCCTTAATGAAATCATGGTCCAGAGCACTGAGGACCTCAGACTGGGATGAAGGTTCTACTTCCATCAAAACACTTATCGTAAGCATACAGCCAAGACACAGCAAGAGTGGCTTAGGGACATCTCTGTGAATGTGCCTGAGTATCTTAACAAGAGCCAGGACTTGAATCAAATATTCCCACTGATGGAGGTGTAGAGTATCTGCAGAGATTAATGGCAGAAACCACCAAATCCAGATGTTCAAAGCTTGTTGCATGATAGCCAAATATATTTGTTAATGTGATCCTGACACCAACTAAAATGTGACCATTTATCAATAAAAAGTTTTAACACGGAGACTATTATGGCACAATAGCAATCAGGAAAAAAACTTATTCCATAAACTCAAATGTAACAAGATCAATCTCACCTGTCAAAGATGGAAAAATCAAATTTCCAACCCAGGCAGCGAATGACGCGGTCATATGGTTCCCGAGCCGCAAAATTATCAAGATCATCCTTCGGAAGTTTGTCAGTGTGGTTTCCATTGTGGCCCTCGCCCATTTTTAGGTAATTCTTGTGAGTCACATAAAGCTTCCCGTTCTTGTCCTGTACCAGTCCCAGATCTGACAGCTCCCCCTCCAGCAGCCCATCCAGAGATTTCAGCTGGTACGTGTCTAAAAGTCCATTATTAACGGCTCTGTGTTTAAAAGGAAATGAAAAGTATAAACAGGAAAGAAGCTGAAACCAAAAGGCAGGAATCCACTTGTTATAGCTGGCTATAATGGGTGCAGGAATTATTTTAAGAAACGTATGTCTTATTCCATGTGCACGCACTACAGGAACACACACAGGTAAATGTAATGCTTGGAAAGTGCGAGCAAGCTGCATGTCTGACATGTAAGATTCTGTGTAAATTGAAGGGATGTTATTGCTCACTATGGAGGCACTGGTGAGGTGGTGCGGTCACAGATTAGAATGTCTCGTTTTTGAAAGCTTACTTGCAAAATATTAAATTCGTAATACAAAATTGTATTAATGAAAACAAGACTGACAAAGTATATCAACATAACCAAATACAGATATTTTAAAAGGAGGGCTACATTAAAGTGACACTCCACTGTCCTCCATGTAATTATTATGCATCATTTTTTCATTGGTGGTATATCTAAAAACTGCTTACAAAAGCTTCAGATCTCTTCTCTGCAGCCTTTGCAAACCTCTCCCTTTCTAAGCCTGTCCAGACTTTCTGTGGCTGTCCAATCACACACTGCCAATGCAGCTCAATAAGACGTCTGTGAAAGGCAGGTGCGCTGGGGCAATTTCTGCATCTTGACTTTAGCTCCCCTGAGCTAACCAAACCAGGAAGTAACAGGACTGTTTGTCTGATTAACAGCTTGGGAGGTTTAACAAGATTTATTGAACTCTATTAGAGATCTGCACATGACAAGGGGCTTCTTGCGAATCCAACCATGAAGATTTATAGAGATTTCATTTAGTATAATTTAATGTGTTTGTAAAATGCTCCATTGTAATTAGATGCCATATTATAGAGTCTCCAAAGTGAAGAGTAGGGAGGGAGGGTCTTGTTCGAAATGGAGTGATGCCCAACCTGATGGTGAGACAAACCCTTCAGTTTTTAAATGGGATTACAGACATTTGTTTGGTCTATTCAATAAGGCCATTCAAGGGTCAGGATAATTGTTGACTTTACATACCCCTCAATGTTACAGAGGGTGTCCCTCTATCAGTCATACATTTTAGAACAATCCCACCGTTTAAGAAAACTGAAGACTCAATGTGCACAGTTTCTCCTACCACCCAGCCATTACTTTGTAGCAGTTCTTCGAAATAGCAGTAAAAGTGATCTAGAAAATCCAAGGCCAACTTGTTTCATCAGTATTATTATTATTATTATTATATTATCAATATTTTCATCTACACCGAGATAAAACTGGGCTTATGACCAAATTAAACACTAATGAAATGTGGTAAGTTCTTTTGGATCAACAGGAGAAACTGTAACAAATAAAAGGTTTAAAGGGAAACTTGTGCACCTTTACAACATCATTGGAATTAAGCTGTTATGGTGCCACGGCGTACTGGCGCCGGCTTACCTTTAAGGGTTAAACTGTTGATGAACGGTCTAACCTCAAAGTCTTCTCTCCAACTCCCTTTTAGCTCTGTAGGTTTAAACAGCTTGGGAAAGTTGGTGTCACGGACCTCCTGGTACCATAATAACTTCATTCCAATGGAGTTGTTAGGGTGCCCACACTGTTCTTTCAAATAACTGGATAGATGAAGATTTATTTTCCCCTTTCCTTTCTAGTAATGCTTAGTTTCTTTGAGAAAATGGCCATTAGACCCAGTGTTAAAATTAAAGTGAATGACTCTTACACAAACCTTAAATCACCCACATAGTGTGTAGCCCAGGACAGTCGTACTCTGGAACGTCCAAGCATGTGAATGAAGTTTGTTTGTCCCAGTATATTCTCGGCGGTCTCAAAAGCAGAGTTTCCTCGTCCCAGAATTAAAACATTCTGTCCTGTGAAATTTCGCGGGTCGACAGAAACAGACTCATACCCCTCTGCATACTTCGACCCAGGAAAATCCAATATATTAGGAAGAGACAGTCCTGTGGCCACCACCAATACACTGTAAGAGAGGAACATCGATTGAGCAATTACATGTCCTTGCATTCATCCAACTAGTACACAGAAATACCAAGATTCTATTGATAACGGTCTGTCCAAAGCACTTGGTTTAGAAATGCTAAAGAAGCTATAGCAAGGCAATGTCTGTCAGTCAACAGAGATCAAAACACCTCTATTGACCATCCCCACAACTGCACTGGAATGGAGTGTCTAGGTGAGCTGCAGTTGTAGGTACAGGTCCCCTTGGATTCCTATATGGAGGAAGAGATTTGGTCCTCTGGCAAAATGCCTGGATACAACTCTCAGGACTACAAATGGAGCCATGAAGTGGTCTGTGCTAAAGCATTAAGCACAGAACGACTAATACCAAAGATAGTGCCGATGACAGCTCATCTCTTCTCCATCCATAACGCAAGCTGAAGTGCTAGGTGTTTGGAGTTCTTATGAATAAACACTAAAGCATTAGTAAAACAAATGTGTATTCCTCACACTTTAGTCTTCCTGTCCTTAATAACAAGCTACACACCCCCTCCGGTTTAGCATGGTGACTTTGGGAGGATAACACTCTGCAATGTAGACATACATTGCAGGTTTAAACCTGCAGGGCCACAGATGAAGTGGCCTGGGTAGCTTTACTGGTCCTTTAAATGTGGATGATTGTATCTGTGCCTATAATTGCAAGTGACGGGCTAGTTTTGCATGTACAGGTGATACTCAAAAAAAATTGAATATCGTGCAAAAGTTCATTTATTTCAGGAATGCAACCTAAAAGGGGAAACTAATATATGAGATAGATGCATTACATGCAAAGCAAGATAGTTCAAGCTGTGATTTGTCATAGGTGCGATGATTATGGCTTACAGCTCATGAAAACCCCAAATCTACAATCTCTTAGAATATTACATGCAATCAATAAAACAAGGTGTGTACATAGAACAATATCGGACCTCTGAAAAGTATAAGCATGCATATGGACTCAGTACTAGGTTTGGGCCCCTTTTGCAGCAATTACTGCCTCAATGCGGCGTGGCATGGAAGCTATTAGCCTGTGGCACTGCTGAGGTGTGTTGGAAGACCAGGATGCTTCAATAGCGGCCTTCAGCTCTTCTGCATTGTTCGGTCTCATGTCTCATCTTTCTCTTGGCAATGCCCCATAAAATCTCTATTGGGTTCAGGTCAGGCAAGTTTGCTGGCCAATCAAGCACAGTAATCCCATGGTCATTGGACCAGGCTTAGGTGCTTTTGGCAGTGTGGGCAGCATCCCCATGAAGCTAGTCGGTGGAAGGAAGCATAAAGTGCTCCAAAATCTCCTGGTAGACAGCTGCGTTGACCATGTACTTAATGAAGCATAGTGGACCAACACCAGCAGATGACATGGCTCCCCAAATCAACACAGACTGTGCCTCTCCATTCTTCCTCCAGACCTTGGGTCCTTGGTTTCCAAATGAGATGCAAAAGTTGCTCTCATCAGAAAAGAGGACTTTGGACCACTGAGCAACAGACCAGGTAAGACGCTTCTGACGTTGTTTGCTGACAAGAGGAATACAACATCTGAAGCCCATGGCCAGGATCCGTCTGTGTGTGGTGGTTCTTGTCCACTCCTCGTGAAAGTCCCCAACACATTTGAATGGCCTTTTCCTGGCAATCCTCCAGGCTACGGTCATCCCTGCTACTTGTGTACCTTTTTCTTCCACACTTTTACCTTCCACATAAGTTTTTATTAATGTGCTTTGATACAGCATTTTGGGAACATCCAACCTCCTTCGCAATTACCTTTTGAGGCTTTCCCTCCTTATGGAGAGTGTCAATGATGGTTTTCTGAGAGACCATTTAAAGGCTCAGAAACCCTTTGCAGGTGTTATGGTTTACGTAGCTGATTAGAGTGCGACACTGTGAGCCTAGAATATTGCACTTTTTCACAATATTCTAATTTACTGAGATAGTGGATTTGGGGTTTTCAGGAGCTGTAAGCCATAATCATCGCACTTATGACAAATCACGGCTTGAACGATCTTGCTTTGCATGTAATGCGTTTATCTCATATATTAGTTTCCCCTTTTACGTTGCATTACTGAAATAAATGAACTTTTGCTAAATATTCTAATTTTTTGAGTATCATCTGTATTAAAGTACTTTACACATGTATGTCTAGGTATATTAGCAATTAGCTAATTATGTGTATAACTGTGTGTTTCAGTGGCTAGCTATATGTGTGTGTTGCTAGTTTGATATGTGTGTGACAAATGCTGTTGTAGTTAATTACATAAATGCAAGGCTGGACTACAACAAAGATGTCCAGACCATTCCATTCTTCTATAAATAAACAAGCCATGCTAATTCACATTATGATACATCAGATATTCCATAAATCATAAATGTATTAACTATTGTAAAACAATCTTTTGGTTAGCGGAGAGAGAGAGAGATTTGTTGCTTACTTGCATTGGTACTTTTGTCCAGACTGACTGCTCAGGAGGAAATAGTGCCCATTCCATGCCGCGGGATTGGATTCCACTCGGACACTGCTAATATTGGTCCCGTAGCGAATCTGAATGCTACTGCTAAAATCTTGCAGGTACCTTAACATATCATCGGCATGAGGGAAGAAGTCCGGAGAGTAACGGCTGAAGCGTAAGGGATGTTTTCCGTCCAGTAAAGAGTTCCAGTCATGGCGCAGGTTGAACTCGCTGTTCTTGCGTCCTGTGAATTGTTTGTTTATACTGATCAGCTTACGGTGTCTTGGGAAACGAACAAAGAAGTTACCTGGAGTTTGGCTACGTTCAAACACCATATAATTTCTCCCTGAATCCTCCAGGAATCTTGCAAACTGGAGTCCGCCAGGGCCGGCTCCAACCACACAGTAATCATACGCAACCAAATCAGCCAAGACAGGATACTGCCAGCTGAAGAGTAGAATTAGATAGAAATACTGCCTGACTGGCATGGTGTTATCCTGTGCAGCCAAAAACAACAAAAGAATTAGATATCAATGAAATTGTTAATATGAACAAGTCAGGCCAAATAAATAAATTTTGCTCCCCAAACCCCTGTCTATGCCGCCGATCACATGATCGGAGTCTGCAACTTTTTTAACAAAAAAGCACTTCCTATTGGTCCAGACCTCCAGGCCATGTGATCGATGAAATTATGATGTACAGATCATGTGATGCTGATGTAACTTATCCACAAATTTAAAATGTTTTTATTCTATTAAAATACAATCATCTCCAGCATCATGGTAACACTATGATAAAGCCCCCTACTGTTAGTGAATCACGTTAGTGTTTTACTGTTAGGTTTTTAATTTCATTAAATTGATTTTCTTACTTAACCTTGAGCTCTGCAGTCTTCCTGCTGCAAAGACTATATATCCTGTAGGGGATTTCTACCACCTGAACACTGTGTGATTGAGCAATTTCATATTGCTGACAAAATTGTAAGCAGGATTCTATTTTCACATTTTGTATTTACCATGACTGTCCACATACATCTGCAGAATCCCAGAGTGAGGATATTGTACCACTCTATGCCTATACAAGAGAGCCAACATTTGTCTCATACACACAAGTGAAATACCTACTCTTGTTATTGCCATATCAGTTGGTAACATACTTCACCATAGAACATGTCTCTCTCTGTTATTGTGTCATAACCTGAAGACCCTCTATACTAGGATTATAGTAAATATTACTAGTACTTTACCTATAATCTCCTCTTTTCCTTATATATTGTTCCCTAGCTACCCTCATCATTCTATGATGCCTTTAAGCTATAACCAACAACCCAATCATCAGTCCTGTGCCCAGATGCATATCCAGTGATCGGAGAAGTAGTCGGAGAATAGTTCATGGTAAGTAAAGGTTTTCCTTGTTTTGGTCAATAATTTGAAATTATCTTTGAATTTCTAGTTTACTGAATAAACAAATAAAGACTACCATCATACTGTATATTGCAACATTCTAGATCATTTCAAGGCATTATTACCTCTGAAATTAGACACTGAGAGGCTTACGCCAATGAGAAATTAAAGATTGTATGTGAATGTGAAATGGAAAATCCATGGTGGTAGAAAGACACGTGCCCATCTCTGAGGGTTGCCGACCTCTGTTCCGGAAAGTGATGTCTTGTTAGGAAAGGGATTCAGTGGGGAAAAAAGAGAACAAGCGTCAGTGATTTATAACAAGAACTTGCCTAGAAATTTCAAAAGATGTATATGAAAATTAAAAATCTTGGTGACATGTTCAGCTAAGTTTTCAGAAGTAAAAATAAAAAACAGCAATGACACTTTAAGTGAACCAGTCCCATAAAGCCATAACATCTATTTAAGTAGATAATATTGCTTAAAGGGACACTATAGTCACCAGAGCAACTACAGCTTAATGTATTTATCTGGTAAGTAAAATAATTGCATTTTCTATGAAAAAAAGATAATGTTTACATTGCCCCCAGGGTCACCTTAAGTGGCCAATCCTCAGATGGCCACTGGAGGTGCTTCCTGGGGGAGTGCTGCATAGTAGGCATCACTGCTGTTCAGCATCTCCACACTTTTGATTCAATGCATCTCTATGAAGAGATGCCGATTGCCCAAAACTGTGTTTGGCACAGCCCCATCCCGCCTCCTTGCCGATTTCAGCAAATCCAATGCGTTCCCTATTGGACATTAGCTCCTTTTTAGTCTAATCTATATACAGAATCTCACAAAAGTGAGCACACCCCTCACATTTTTGTTAATACTTTAGCTTTTCATGCGACAAGACTGAAGAAATGACAATCTGCTACACTGTAAAGTAGTATGTTTACAGCCTGTGTAAAAGTGTAACTGTGTTGTCCCCTCAAAATAACAACATACAGCCAATAATGTCTAAACCATTGGCAACAAAATCAAGTACACCCCTAAGTGGAAATGTCCAAATTGGACCCAAAGTGTCAATATTTTGTGTGGCCACAATTATTTTCCAGCACTGCCTTAAACCTGATGGGCATGGAGTTCACCAGAGCTTCACAGGTTGCCGCTGGAGTCCTCTTCCACTCCTCCATGACGACATCACAGAGCTGGTGGATGATAGAGACCTTGCGCTCCCCCACCTTCCGTTTGAGGATGCCCCACAGATACTCAATAGGGTTTAGGTCTGGAGACATGATTGGCCAGTCCATCACCTTGACCTTCAGCTTCTTTAGCAAGGCAGTGGTTGTCTTGGAAGTGTGTTTGGGGTCGTTGTCATGTTGGAATACTGCCCTGCGGCCCAGTCTCCGAAAGGAGGGGTCATGCTCTGCTTCACAGTACATGTTGGCATTCATGGTTCCCTCAACGAACTGTAGCTCCCCAGTGCCGGCAGCACTCATGCAGGTCCAGACCATGACACTCCCACCACCATGCTTTACTGTAGGCAAATCACACTTGTCTTTGTACTCCTCACCTGGTTGCCACCACACACACTTGACACCATCTGAACCAAATAAGTTTATCTTGGTCTCATCGGACCACAGGACATGGTTCCAGTAATCCATGTCCTTAGTCTGATTGTCTTCAGCAAATTGTTTGCGGACTTTCTTGTGCATCGCCTTTAGTAGACCAATTTGAAGCAGTGTGTGGTGTATGGTCTGAGCACTGACAGGTTGACACCCCCATCCCTTCAACCTCTGCAGCAATGCTGGCAGCACTCATATGTCTATTTCCCAAAGACAACCTCTGGATATGATTCTGAGCACGTGCACTCAACTTCTTTGGTCAACCATGGCGAGGCCTGTTGTGGAACCTGTCCTGTGCAATCGCTGTATGGTCTTGCCCACCATGCTGCAGTTTCAGGGTCTTGGCAATCTTCATGTCAGGGCTCGACAAATCCCAAACGCCAGGTCGCCATGTCGACTAAAAATTTCGCCCTGGCGCCTGGGATGTGCCAGCTCTCTACTTAGTGTGGCCGCGGCCGTCACAGGTAATATTGCAGGCGGCCGCCAGTGGGAGCATGAAGGTAGGCGGCCGCCCGCGGGAGAATGGAGGTAGGCGGCCGCCCGCGGGAGCATTGTGGACAGCGCGTGATGTCATTCTGGCCCCAGTATCAGAGAGGAGCTACAAGCAGAGTACTGCTCCCTCGCACGCAGGATGAGCGCAGATCCACTGGACCCCAGGAAAGACCCACTCAGCTCTCCCAAAGGTAGGGAAGCTGAGTGGGTTTCAATTCAAACAAAAATGTGTGTGTGAGAGCCTGTTAGTGTGTGTGTGTGTGTGTGTGCGTGTGTGTGCAAGCCTCTCAGAATGTGTGTGTTAACGCTTATGTGTGTCTGTGTTTAAGTCTGTCAGAGTGTGTGCGTGAGCCTGTCAAGAGTTTGTGTGTGCAAGCTTGTTGTCAGCGTGAGTGTGTATGTGAGCTTGTCAGTGTGTGTGCGCGTTTAGGTACCTGCCCCCTCCGATAGTTTTTACTCGCCTTTTTTCCCCCATTTTCTTACGCCGTGCCAGTTTCCCCATGATCTTTATGATCTCAGCTAAGCCAATGCTTTCCCCTAGGAAAGCATTGGGAGGATTGTGCATGCGCAGCAAATGTACCAACCCTCATCTCCTCATAGAGATGCATTAAATTAATGAATCTCTACGAGGAACATTTGGCACCTCCATGCAGAGCTTGGAGATACTGAACCTGGGTGCTGCATGGGACAGGCTATAGACACCAGAACAACTACATCAAGCTGTAGTGGTTCTGGTGACTATAGTGTCCCTTTAGGAATTGCATTTTCTCGTTGAAAATGACAGGCTCCTAACTTGTTTTGCTGGCTCCTAGATTCCAAACAAATTTGTCAAAGCCCTGCTTTATGTAGAGCAACAATTCATTTTTTTAGATCCTAAGAGAGTTCTTTGTCATGAGGAGCCATGTAGAACTTCCAGTGACCAGTATAAGAGAGTAAGAGAGCGATAACACCAAATTTAACACACCTGCTCCCCATTCACACCTAAGACCTTGTAACGCTAACGAGTCACATGACTCCGGGGAGGGAAAATTGCTAATTAGGCCCAATTTGGACATTTATACTTAGGGATGTACTCACTTTTGATGCCAACAGTTTAGACATTATTGGCTGTGTTTAGAGTTATTTTGAGGAGACAGCAAAATTACACTGTTATACAGGCTGTACACTTACTACATTACATTGCAGCAGAGTGACATTTCTTGGCACAGTGTTGTCACATGAAAAGATATAACATTTTTACAAAAATGTGAGGGGTGTACTCACATTTGTGAGATATTGTGGATATATGGAGACACCGTCTGCCAAATATCGGCAGACAGTGCAACAACCCTCCATCTGTATCTATAAGAATGGTGTTTTTTCTTTAAGTCTATGTATTTACTAGCAATTCTGCTAGCGCAGCCAAGCATTTTATTTAATTTACACAAACAGTAGGACACCGCACCTCGCCTCAGAATCCAGGTGCTCCAGGGCTAGCAAACTTCAATATAGTAGACAAAAATAAATCAGGTGGCACTTTGCATATCACAGATGGCAGCTATTTTAAAACAGAAAAAGCAGCAACATTTCGGCGTTTGTCAAGTATTTTATTTAACCCCTTAACGCTGTTACGGCATTCTATGCTGTCCCCATTTAAATGGGATTTAAAGCATAGAACGCCGTAACGGCTTTCTGCCCTGGAGCCTCAGGAATACTTACCTTCCCGGCAATCCACTTCAAGAGGACTGCCTGACAGCCCAGGCGACCCTCCCACGTTAAATCTCAAAGAGCAATCACATGGCCCCCCTATAGCTGGCTGTGGATCTGCCAGCAGGGAAAATTCTACGTGTATATATTTATGTAATCTACTAGCATAATTACGTGATTTTATTACTTAAAGTTTGACTGACATGACAACCGAGGCAGAAAGTGCAGCGAATTTAATTTGCAAGAACTATATTTATCTCTGTAACTTTCCAAGACACCATAAAACCTGTACATGGGGGGGGTACTGTTTTACTCAGAAAACCTCGCTGAACAGAAATATTAGTGTTCCAAAACAGTAAAATGTATTACAACGATGATATCGTAAGTGAAAGTGAAATTGTTTGCATTTTTCACACACAAATGGCACTTACACTGACAATAATTGTGGTGATACATTTTACTATTTTGAAACACTTATATTTGCATTTCAGTTTTTTCACATTGAAATTTGCCAGATTGGTTATGTTGCCTTTGAGACCGTATGGTAGCCCAAGAATGAAAATCACCACCATGATGGCATACCATTTGCAATAGTAGACAATCCAAGGTATTGTTCCCCCTTCTCCATGTCCCCCCTCTCCTTCCTCCCCCCTCTCTCCCCATGTTCCCCCCCTCTCTCTCTCCCCCCATGTTCCCCCTCTATGTTCCCCCTCTCTCTATGTTCCCCCTCTCTCTCTCTCCCCCTCTCTATGTTCCCCCTCTCCTCTCTCCCCCACGTTCCCCTCTCTCTCTCCCCCCCCGTTCCCCCACTCTCTCCCCCTCTCTCTCTCCCATCTCTCTCTCTCCCCCGTTTCCCTCTCTCTCTCTCTACCCCAAAGTTCCCCCTCTCTCGTTCCCCCTCTCTCTCCCCGTTCCCCCTCTCTCTCTCTCTCTCTCTCCCCCACGTTCCCTCTCTCTCTCTCTCCCCCCCCGTTCCCTCTCTCTCTCTCTCCCCCGTTCCCCTCTCTCTCCATGTTTCCCCTCTCTCTCCCCCCATATTCCCCCTCTCTCCCCCCCCTCTCCTCTCCCCATATTCCCCTCTCTCTCTCCCCATATTCCCCCCCTCTCTCCCCTCTCTCTCCCCCCATATTCCCCTCTCTCTCTCCCCCCTCTCTCTCCCCCTCTTTCCCCATGTTCCCCTCTCTCTCTCCCCATGTTCCCCTCTCTCTCTCTCTCTCCATGTTCCCCTCTCTCTCTCTCCGTGTTCCCCTCTCTCTCTCTCCATGTTCCCCTCTCTCTCTCTCCGTGTTCCCCTCTCTCTCTCTCCGTGTTTCCTTCTCTCTCTCTCCGTGTTCCCTCCTCTCTCTCTCAGTGTTCCCTCCTCTCTCTCTCAGTGTTCCCTCCTCTCTCTCTCAGTGTTCCCTCCTCTCTCTCTCAGTGTTCCCTCCTCTCTCTCTCAGTGTTCCCTCCTCTCTCTCTATGTTTCCCCTCTCTCTCTCTCTCTCCTCTCTCTCTCTCTATGACCACCCTCTCTCTCTCCATGTTCCCTCTCTCTCTCCATGTTCCCTCTCTCTCTCCATGTTTCCCTCTCTCTCTCTATGTTTCCCCCCCTCCTCTCTCTATGTTCCCCTCTCTCTCTCTCTCTATGTTTCCCCTCTCTCTCTCTCTCTATGTTTGCCCTCTTCCTCTCTCTCTCCTATGTTCCTCTCTCTCCATGTTCCCTCTCTCTCTCTCTCTCTCTCCATGATCTCTCTCTATGTTCCCTCTCTCTCTCCATGTGTTCCCCTCTCTCTCTCTCCTGTTCCTCTCTCTCTCTCTCTCCATGGTCCCTCTCTCTCTCTCTCTCCCTTGTTTCCCTCCTCTCTCTCTCTCTCCATGTTTCCCTCTCTCTCTCTCTCTCCATGTTCCCCTCTCTCTCTCTCTCTCTCCTTGTTCCCCTCTCTCTCTCTCCATGTTCCCCTCTCTCTCTCCATGTTCCCCTCTCTCTCTCCATGTTCCCCTCTCTCTCCCTCTCCATGTTCCCCTCCCTCTCTCTCCATGTTCCCCCCTCTCATTCTCTCCCTCTCCATGTTCCCCTTCCTCCCTCTCTCTCCATGTCCCCCCTCTCTCTCCATGTTCCTCCCTCTCTCTCCATGTTCCCCCTCTCTCTCTCTCTCCATGTTCCCCCCTCTCTCTCTCTCCATGTTCCCCCCCCACTCTCTCTCTCTCCATGTTCCTCTCTCTCTCTCTCCCCCCATGTTCCCCCTCTCTCTCTCTCCATGTCCCCCCTCTCTCTCTCTCTCTCCATGTTCCCTCTCTCTCTCCATGTTCCCTCTCTCTCTCTCTCCATGTCCCCCTCTCTCTCTCCCCTCTCTTCTCTCATGTTCCTCTCTCTCTCTCTCCATGTTTCCTCTCTCTCTCTCCCTCCTCCATGTTTCCCTCTCTCTCTCCTCATGTTACCTCTCTCTCCATGTCCACCCCTCTCTCTCTCTCTCTCTCTCCATGTTCCTCTCTCTCTCTCTCCATGTTTCCCCCCTCTCTCTCTCTCTCCATGTTCCCCTCTCTCTCCCTCACCATTTTCCTCTCTCTCTCTCCATGTTCCCCTCTCTCTCTCTCTCTCTCTCCCCATGTTAATGTAATTGACTGATTAGTGATATTATTATCGCTCTGGATCCAGGAATATCCCAATAAACACAATGAACCCCGGACTCACCCTCCGCTCCCAGCAGCCCTGCTCTGCACTGAGTGAGCTGAATGACAGCTATGCCAACACTGAGCTTCAGATCAATTGAACAACGGAAGTGACGTCACTTACCCTGATCCTGATGTGTGAGGCTAAACTATACAATTAATTTGCCCTCACCTACAGCGCCTGGAGGATTTCTTTTCTCAGCTAATCCATTCTTTCTTTCTCGTAAACTTAAATCTCTACTCTGCAGAGCAGGGCTGCTGGGAGCGGAGGGTGAGTCCGGGGTTCATTGTGTTTATTGGGATATTCCTGGATCCAGAGCGATAATAATATCACTAATCAGTCAATTACATTAACATGGGGAGAGAGAGAGAGAGGGAGAGAGAGAGAGGGGAACATGGAGAGAGGGGAAAGAGAGAGAGAGAGGGGAAAGAGAGAGAGAGAGGGGAAAGAGAGAGAGAGAGGGGGAAGAGAGAGAGAGGGGGGGGAAGAGAGAGAGAGAGAGAGAGAGAGAGAGAGAGGGGTGTTCATGGAGAGAGAGAGGGGGGAAGTGGAAACATGAGAGAGAGAGAGAGGAAACATGGAGAGAGAGAGAGAGAGAGAGGGGGGGGAAACATGGAGGGAGGAGAGAGAGAGAGAGGGGGAGGGAACATGGGGAGAGAGAGAGAGAGGGGAGGAACATGGGGAGAGAGAGAGAGAGAGGGGGGGAAACATGGAGAGAGAGAGAGAGAGGGGGGGAAACATGGAGAGAGAGAGAGAGAGAGAGAGAGAGAGGGGGGGGAACATGGAGGGGAGAGAGAGAGAGAGAGAGAGAGAGAGGGGGGGAACATGGGAGAGAGAGAGAGGGAACATGGAGAGAGAGAGAGAGAGAGAGAGAGAGAGCAATGGAGAGAGAGAGAGAGGGGGGAACATGGAGGAGAGAGAGAGAGAGAGAGAGAGGCGGGAGAGAGAGAGAGGCATCATTATGAGAGAGAGAGAGAGAGAGAGGGGGGGAACATGGAGAGAGGGGGGACATGGGGAGAGAGAGAAGGAAACATGGAGAGAGAGGGAAGATGGAGAGAGAGAGGAGGAGAGAGAGAGGGAACATGGAGAGAGAGAGAGGGGAAGATGGAGAGAGAGAGAGGGAAGAGAGGAGAGAGAGGAGAGAGAGGGGGGACAGAGAGAGAGAGGGGGGGAGAGAGGAGAGAGAGAGAGAGAGAGAGAGAGAGGGGGAACATGGAGAGATAGGTGAGAAGGAGGAAACATGGAGAGAGGGGGAGGGAGTGTCCTGATTTATGATACTTGTTCATCAATGTAATGCTGCCACTAATCAGACAATTAGATTAATTAGGGTTGTATTACTTAAGAAATGATAGAGGGAAAGAAATATGTTCAGTGGTTTATTTGGAGAGAGAGAGAACATATGTTTAATAAGGTATATTTTATTAGATTTGGGCATTCATTTTCTGAAGAATTGCAATTTGAATTCTGAATCTGTGAACAGTGCAATGAAATGAATTTTTCCATTCACAATATGTTTATTCCTCTAAATTCATTAAATCAGTACTCTTATGTGGGATTGCAATATTTAAGAATAACAATGTTATGGACAAATGCAAATATTGTATTTCTTAAACTGTGTGTACTGTACTTTGTCTTTTTAAAAGATATTGCAAACTGACAAAGTGTTGGAAATGGAACATATTGTTTTTCATACAATGTTTCTTTAAGCAATAACCTTTTACCTACTTTCAGTGCATAATATGTTTGCGCCATTTTGTCCCAGACAAAATACAATAACAATAATGCATAAACAAGCTTCAAGGCTATGCTACGACTCTTTCAGTACATAATATACTGCGGTAACCCTAAATAGATCAAGATGTTCAGATTTTAAGATGCCATCTTGTCCTAAGTCAGGGAATTTCCCATGACGTGTACACTCTTACGTTTTAGTTATGGCCTTGTATTTTTGCCAAGTTAAAGGACCACTATAGTGCCAGGAAAACATACTCGTTTTCCTGGCACTATAGTGCCCTGAGGGTGCCCCCACCCTCAGGGTCCCCCTCCCGCCGGGCTCTGGAGAGAGGAAGGGGTTAAACACTTACCTTTCTCCAGTACTCCTCCTCTCCTCCTTGCTCGCGACGTCATCGGCTGAATGCGCATGCGCGGCAGGAGCCGCGCGCGCATTCAGCCGGTCGCACAGGAAAGCATTTACAATGCTTTCCTATGGACGCTTGCGTGCTCTCACTGTGATTTTCACAGTGAGAAGCACGCAAGCGCCTCTAGCGGCTGTCAATGAGACAGCCACTAGAGGCTCTGGAGGCTGGATTAACCCTCAGTATAAACATAGCAGTTTCTCTATTTAACTATATAAAATTATGGCTAAGATATCTGTATGGTTAGCCCTGCTAAGTTCTATGATTTAAGACATAGTGGTAAATAAGGGAACCAGCTTAACAAATTAAGTAGCTGTTGTATTTAAAGGAACACTGTAATCACCGTAACAACTACAGCTTATTGTATTTGTTCTGGTTAGTATAGTCTGTCTATTCAGGCTTTTTGCAGTAGACACTATCTTTTTAGAGAAAATTAAGTGTTTACATTACAGCCTTGTGATAACTCCACTGGCCACTCCTTAGATGGCTGCTAGAGGTGCTTCCTGGGGCAGTGCTGCACAGTGTGACTGACATTCAGTGTCTCCACTCTCTGCATGGAGACACTGAATTTCCTCATAAAGATGCATTAATTCAATGTATATGTATGAGGAGATGCTGATTGGTCAGGGCTGTATTTGGCATGTGCTAATTCTGCCCCTAATCTGTTTCCTGGGTTAAAGGTATGATTTTACTATATTTAGGGAGGGCAAGGGGGCCATAAGGGCTAGATTTGTATTTTTAACACATTAGGTGCAGGAATAAATGTTTGTGTTTCTGACCCTATAGTGTTCCTTTAATAGAAAGCTCCTTATTTTTATGAGGGTAAATATGTTAATGCCACATAAGCGTACAAATTATATTTACTAAGCAGCTGAAAGGCCAAAAATTAAGAATTTTTTTTTTTTCTTAATTTTGATCATTCAGATGATTAGTAGTTAGCTCTCTAATTTGATTTACTGTGTATATCACATATATTCTGTGCAGGGGGGCTTGTACTCAAGTGTTTAGATACATTTTGGTGTATGTTGCTTGTTACTAGCAAAACAAAAATCACTATATAAATAGTCAGCACTTTATTTGTAACGTTTCAGTTTAAAAATTATTATTTTTTCTGTCATGGTGGCAGTACCAACGGGTTTTGCTCCCTTCCTGTGGACAAGTATCTAGCAAGATTAATTATAGTCAAGATAAACCCTCCTCCTTCTATAAACGGCAGAACTGCAAAACCTACCCCAGTTTCCTTTCTTGTCCCGAGAGGGACGGACACAGCATCTTGAGGTGAGACACACAGGCTGATGGTTGTAATGGATCACCTGGCACCCCGACTGGGTACCTCCGTTAAATGATGCTCCTAGCGCTTCCTGAGGGCTCCAAGCACTTCATCCAACACCATAACCACCGTAGACTCCTTCAGAGAGCAAGACAGGAACAAGCTCTTACAAGAGCTCAGTGATTATAGCAAGGGAATATGCAGAGCATAGCAATCCCTTGTAGCAGACTCCCCCAATAAGAGACTGGCAGATTGAGGGTGAAGTAGAACTGTCTAAAACATTTTCCTTGGGACTAGCCCATATGGTCATTACATTAACATTGCTGTGAACACTCAATAAAATTACAAACAGTCAAATCATAGCAGGCAACATACAGTGACTTATTATAACACAATGGCATATTTTTAAAGAGGTGGGGGAGATTCTTCATTTCTTACTTGATGGGTTTTCAGCTGGTCTGGGTGTGTCTACTCTTAAAGTTCAGACATCGGCCTTAAGTTTCTTCATGATTAAGGATTTGGCATCCCATGTTCTACTTAGAAGATTTTTTAGGTCCATCAGACTCAGACGTCCTCCTAAGAGATCCGTGTTTCCCTCCTGTGGCCATCACATCAGCCAAAAGAGTTGGAGAGCTTCGAGCTCTGTCCTCCTCGGATGACTTTACAGTTTTCCACAAAGACAAGGTGGTCCTTCATCCTAAACCTTCCTTTTTGCCTAAGGTCCTGTCCTCGAAGACCATTAATCAGCCAAATATTTTGTAGTGATGCCTCCTCTCCCCAAGAACTTAAATGGCATATGTTCGACGTTAGAAGAGCTTTACTTCTTTACCTTGCCAGATCTAAAGAATATAGGATTTCAGACCACCTGTTTATTAATTTTCAGGGCAAATTCAAGGGTGAAGAAGCTTCCCGCAACTCCTTATCTCGTTGGCTCATTCAGGCTATAAGTTTGACATCTTCTACAGGAGGTTTCCAGGTTCCAGTTGCTCTCAAGGCCCATTCCACCCGTGCTATGGCTACCTCGTGGGCAGAAAGGGCGCTTGCTTCTCCAGAGGACATCTGTAAAGCTGCATCTTGGTCTTCCTTTAACACTTTCATCAAGCACTAAAGGCTAGACATATTCTCTTCCTCTGAAGCTGCGTTTGGGCGTTAGGTGTTACAAGCTGTTGTGGCATAAGTCCTAGCCTGATGGGGATCTTGCTATATCCCGTTGGTACTGCCACCGTATGACAGAAAAAACTGAAATTTTTACTTACCGTAAATTCTTTTTTTTTCTTAATATGGTGGCAGTACGGCTTCCTTCCCTCTATATTAAAAATGTTTGATATTGCAGTATAAGTTTGTCTGTGTGTTTTTTCTTGCTACTTACTGGGGTAGGGTTTGCAGTTCTGCCGTTTATAGGGCAAGGGGGAGGGTTTATCTTGACTATAATTAATCTTGCTAGATACTTGTCCACAGGAAGGGAGCAAAACCTGTTGGTACTGCCATCATATTAAGAAAAAAATAATTTACGGGAAGTAAAAATTTCTGTTTTCAGTAGGAAAAGTGAACAATTGCACATTTAAACATGTTTTAAAAAAGTGAATTACTTACCCACCTGAACACTCAATGCCGACCTTAGACCTGTGCGAAAAATATTCACAGCGCCCCTCTCTGGCCACACCCCTGATCTAATACTTCCTGCCATTTAAAACTTCCTATTCTTGTTGTTTCCCAAAATAAAGAGATTGGAATAACATAATAAAAAAAAAAAAAAAATGGCAATCTCTTCAGGCAACTTGCATGATTTTCACTGTGAATTTATTTATTTTTTTCAGACTTTTTTAACATTTGAAATTAGTTTGTTAATTTTTGGCAGTTTCCGCTTTTACCAATAAAGACTCCAGAAACAATTCATCTTATCTTTTTAAATATTTGTTAATTCAATTCTTCTTCCATTTCCTTCTCAGATCTCCGTTTTACCTATAAATTTCTTCTCAGATCATGTTTCTTCCGAAGCACTCGGCTTTGCGTCTAAGGTTATTATTTTTCTTACCTTAAAGAAACCTACTAACCACCCACAGACCAGTCACTGCTCCTCCAACCAGTCATTCACATAACATTTGCTGCACTATCTGAACACTTATACACACTGTAACAGAACTGCTGGCACCCCGACCGGGTACCTTCCGCTGACGAATGCTCTTAGTGCTTTCCGAGGGCTTCAAGCACTCCATCTGACACCATAACCACTGCAGACCCCACGAACCGCCGCCTCTTGGTTGGGGTCTCGCCGTCTCCACCCACTCTGGACCCAAGACCAGGGTCCAGCTTCCAGTAGGTCGACCTCTCCGAATTCCAGAGAGCAGGAAAAAGCTCTTAAAAGAGCTTAGTGATTATACCTTGGGGAGTATAGTGATTACAGCAATCCCCAGAGTGTAATTCTCCAATCCTCCAACATGAGCCAAAACTTCATGAAGGTACAAGATGATCTGTTTAATAAGCACCAAAAGACTTTCTTTCATGCAAGATTTTACACAAGGTTACCACCCACATGGTCTTGTGGAACAGCCAATCAAACACAATACAATACAGTCAGACACTCCCAGCTAGGACACACAAACCCTCCCCTCTGTCTGTGATATAATTACTACATACAATTGGTTAACTTATTTATCACAGTTTTACACAATATTCATAACTTCCAAACCATACGTGCAATTTCCATAAAATTCCATAGAATTACATATTCTGAATCAGCATAAGCAGTATACAAACATATGTCAAAATCATACAAATTGGTCCAGTGGTTCAAAAGTTAGGTGGAAGTCCTATTTGACCGACTGCAAGCATGGCTTTCCTGCCCAAAACAGTTCCACAGATTTAGGCTGTGCAGCAGGTCCTGTAGATAATTGGCTTAAGTGGGTGTGGTAACTTCATTATCTCCAGGTAAAGGTAATATCTCCATTTACTACAACAACAGTACAAATACCTAAAAATACATAATTCCTATTACACTGAACAGAACCCCCACATTCAACCTATCCCCAGATAGCTTGCATCTGAGCGCTCAATATATCTGAACAGCGCTCAGATTCTACGAACAGAATATAATCACCATGGGGTTAAAGTTTATCAAGGGCTGATGAGACCGAGGAGGGACAAAGCAGCCAGTTTTAACTGGTCTGGCAGTGTCCCTGGGACAACGCCCTGCTGGAAAACAATGGGACAGGAAAACAGGGGAGGGGAAGAGGCACATTCTCCCATGGAATCAAAGAGGCAGAAAAAGTGTAAACAAATCCAATATGCCCAAATAACGTTTCAAAAGGGCAATAACCTCAGGGGCCATAGTCCTGTGGCAAGAGGCTGGCAACCAGGCTCCTCCAAAAACCAGTGGCGAGGTCACTTTCGCCACACACTACATACATGTCACATCTTCCCTTCCACTTACCACCCACTTCTATCCTATCACCCATCCACACACCACCCACTTCTATCTTACCACCCATCCACACACTGCGACTTATACCCCACATGCATACACGCACCAGCCATTTCTCTCCCACCACCCATTTACAAAACAGTCACTACTTCCCCTCCACTCATCCACACACTGCCACTTATACCCCACATGCATACACGCACCAGCCATTTCTCTCCCACCACCCATTTACAAACCAGTCACTACTTCCCCTCCACTCATCCACACACTGCCACTTATACCCCACATGCATACACGCACCAGCCATTTCTCTCCCACCACCCATTTACAAAACAGTCACTACTTCCCCTCCACTCATCCACACACTGCCACTTATACCCCACATGCATACACGCACCAGCCATTTCTCTCCCACCACCCATTTACAAACCAGTCACTACTTCCCCTCCACTCATCCACACACTGCCACTTATACCCCACATGCATACACGCACCAGCCATTTCTCTCCCACCACCCATTTACAAAACAGTCACTACTTCCCCTCCACTCATCCACACCAGCAATTTCTTCCATTATCCATTCAGAAATAGGTTATGTACATTTGCTCCTGTTACTATTACTAACCATCTCCACCCTAACCCACTCACTTGTTATGTAAACCCATTGCCACACATCACTACATTCCACAAGGAGCTCCTCCAACTATTTTACCCCCATCTGATAGTAGAGCTCCCTTCCTGTTCCCTACCTTTCCAGGCTCCTCCATTACAAACATCCTCTCTGTTCTGTCTTCACAAGTTGCTCTCCTATTCAATATCCTGTTTACATTACCATCATACCTCTTGCCCTTTTGTCAAAATTTCACAGTCCATTACGAAGCTCTGTCCCTTCATTACACATATCCCTGCCCCTCCACTACACCGCTCTCTGTCCCTCTATTACACATCTCTCCACCCCTCTATTACAAATACCTCCATTGTATGTTCCTTAAGATGTCACCCCTTCATTACAGATTACCCTTCTTATGAACTATCCCTTGTTCTTCTCCAAATCAGATTTTCTCCAACCTGAATCATCTTCCTTCTCTAGGCCTTCTTTCATCTCTGTCCATGAGACTCTATGTCCATGAGATTCTGCTCCAGGCATCCTCCATCTCCTGTTCACCAGCGTGTGACAGTAAAGAGCAGGAAGTAACTGCCTTGTCATGGAACCCTGCTGGCTGCAGCCCACACATCTAATTGGTAAACGTTTTACCGAGGACTCAGGTAGTAAAGTATTCTCTTGCGACCCGTTTTTTACTCTCCACAAGTTTAAAGGGTAATCCAGACTGCATTGCTGTGTCTCTCGTGCAGAGGGAACTTGCTGGCATTTTGAATCTGGACTGCCCGTATGGGTGGGACCAGTCTGATATGCTTCAGATATGTTCTCTCTGTAATGGCACAAGATGAGCTAAAACCAGCTTGAGTTCTGAGCGGGGACCCACCGACGGGCAAGCTATTTCAGTTGCTGTCCGTTCTCAGAATACTCTTGCGACCAGTTTTTTTTGCTCTCCATATTTTCCTACATTGCTGAAACTTTGGCTTGCAGTTCCTGCTAATCACACTACAAAGTCCAGCACCCGTCATAGTAGCCGGGGGGATGCTGGAGGACCCTGACAGTCATTTCAGACATGGGGGGTCTCCCTTGGTTAGTTTGCAACTATAGAATCAAAGGATTTAAAACAATTCAAGGGATTTAAAGGACTGACTGCATCGCTCAATTTGAAGTTCACACAGCTTATCGGTTGGTCTGGGGCCGCTAAATATGACAGAGGGGAGCACTAGGTATCAATTGATACAGAGTCTCTGGGTATGAGCAAGGTATCAACCCTGCTCACACCAGAATTTCAAGCCGTGTTTTTAATTTTAAAAAGCCATGTGGCGAAACCAACCTCGCCACGAAGCATTGGAGAAGCCTGGTTGCTCGCCTGTTGCCCTTGGACTATGGCCCCATGTTAAAAAGCCTTCTTTTCCCCTGCAGAAAAGGCTTGTTCGTGCGTTTCTGCCCTGCGTTCGGTAGATTCAATCTACCGAACAAACAACCGAATGACTGGACCACCTGTATTGGGAGTGTGTCGGCAATTTACCTCCCAGAAGCTGCGGTTAACCGCAGCTTAATTGACAAATGCTGGGTGGCCTTTGTTTGCTTGCCGAACACATGGCGGCGGCCATTTTAAAGTCCCGAACAGCCAGCGGTTTCAGCGCCCAAACTCATGGATTTCAAAATGGATACTATTTGTCACGAACACCGCTGAAGCCTCCGACTTCCCTTCTTCTTCGGTAAAAACTCACGAACGTCCCTGTATTCGGTATTGTGTCCACTAATAAGCCATACCCCAGATAGCCATCCCGTGGAGTCTGTTCGTATGGAGAACAGACTTTGTGACTCCATGGCGATTGGACTGTGTGCATAGGATCTGAGCGCTATTCTGTACTTTTGTGCGCTCAAATCCACGCTATCTGGGGATGGGTTACATGTATATATTTTATGTGACAAATGTATTTTATTGTATTTTAGTGTTTTATTGTAACCATGTGGTTAATGGAGTTTTGCCTCTGTCCTTGGAGATAATTGGATTACTTCCCAATTATCTCCAGGATAGAGGGGAGGGATTGTAATGTACTGTGGGAGTGTTTTAACCCTGTATGCCTGTGATTGGTCATTTTACCATTTGTGTCCCAGTCTTCCATCTGGTCCCCTAGGGGAGTGTCCACCAGGTGGAAGACCTGCATAAATACCGACCACTGCTTGACCCGCAACACGGAGCTCTGTCTCGTCTTTGGGGGGATTTACTTTATGCTGTTAGAGACTGATTGCCAGGAGTGTTTTTCCTGTTCGTCTGCTAGCAGCTATTCGTGAGGTTCCAGTTCAGGAGTTTGGAGCATTCCCTTGTATTCAGTTCGGGAGTTTGGTGTTCTGCAGTAGCTGTGCCTGTGTCTCTGGAAGGGAAGATCTATTAAACGGCCTTGGGTGCCTTTTATGCCTTGGGTGCTGTTACAAGCCGTATGCTCAATTTAAAGAGCCATATGAAGTAGTCACTCTGAGCACTGCGTACATTTAATCTGTTAGTCTGGGGCCACTAATTGTTACCCAGGTGATTGGAGACATTTAGGTATAGAATGATACTTTATAAGGGCTATGCTGTCAATAGCATTAAAGCCCTGCTCTGCATGATGGCATAGATAGTCATGTGCTCCTTAAGTAGTTAATTTATACTATATATTACGTTGTATTTCCATGGAAAACTCTCTAGAAGCTATTTGCAGTATTGTGTAACATACATATGAAGGTCATACAATTTGTTCAGTCTTTCCAAGACTTCTCCAATTACATTTTCTGTACCCGCATTTATATCTGTGTCCATTCATATATTATGCTCTATAAATTGTTTGCTAGCATTAGCTGGACTGAACCAGGGAGCAACAAGTAACTTGTACTATTGCTAAGTGATTCCTGTTGGCTCATTTTTTACTTGATCAGCAGTTAAGCCTATGTGCAACTTCAATTAGCTTCCTTCATTAAAACTGTGATTGTACTCTGCAGTTTAATATAAGAAGCCTGTTGGTGGCTGTTAGCTGGCAAATTAGTTTTCTTCCTCTTATTAAAGAGTGAAACTACTTGCATGCAAGTTTGTGATGTACTTGTGTAGACCTTGAAGACTTTTATTTATATTTAATTCACCCTGCTGTGTAGAAGGTGGGGGCTGTCATTCTCAAAATGTTTAAAGACGTTAAAAATGTGGAATGTGTTCCTTGCAGCAAATTTTGCAAAGCAAATGAATGTAAGTGTGTATACACAATTTTTATAAGTGAGGGGACTAGAGGACACAAATTATTGTTAATGACCTTCTGAAACACTATATTTCATTGACACATTTCAGATCTTTTATAAAAAAATATTGTCAGTTTCTATAAGTATGATAAACAATAAAGAAATCCTGTCACTAGAATTTATTTAACTTAGAATTCATTTCTTTCATGTGTTTCCATCAGCAGAAATGATCCTGAAGGACATGAAAGGAACAGAAATACACGAAGCAAGCCCATGAAGAAATTTTTTAATAAAAGAACCAAGGCTTCTAACTCTAAAAAATCTAGGTATCTCTCAGGATCCTATATGTCTACAAATAATATATTAAATAAAAAAACAAAAAATTTCTCATGTTCTGAATGTGGGAAATGTTTTCGTTATTATTCAAAATTTGTTGTCCACCTCAGGACTCACACTGGAGAAAAACCTTACTCATGTTCTGAATGTGTAAAATGTTTTAGCCAGCGCTCAGATCTTACAAAACATCTGCGAATTCACACAGGTGAGGATATTTTTTCATGTTCTGAATGTGGGAAATGTTTTGTCAGCAAATCAGATCTTGTGAAACATCAGAGAACTCACACAGGAGAGAGACCTTTCTCATGCTCTAAATGCGGGACATGTTTCAGTCGTCAATCAAGCCTAATTCGCCATCAGAGAACTCACACAGGAGAGAAGCCATTCTCATGTACTGAATGTGGGAAATGTTTTAGCCAGCATTCAAACCTTGTTATCCATCACAAAACTCACACAGAAGAGAAAACATACTCATGTTCTAAATGCAGGAAATGTTATGTCAGTAAATCAGAGCTTGTGAAGCATCAGAGAACTCACACAGGAGAAAAACCTTTCTCATGTTCTGAATGTGGGAAATGTTTTAGTTACCACGCATGTCTTGTTAGCCATCAGAGTGCTCACACGGATTAGATATTCTATAATGTTCCGAATATGGGAAACTATTTTACGAGGTATCAATGCATTTCTGTGGGAGTAAAACATATTGTATTGTGAATGTGAGACATACCGAAACTGTAATTCATATTGTATTTATCATCCAGCATCTCACACTATAGAAAAGCCTTTTTCATGCTGACACTATAAATAACTCTCATATCTTTTTGTAACCCCTTAGTGACCAGACCATTTTTCAATTTTCCTACTGTTAAGGATCAGGGCTGTTTTTACATTTCTGCGGAGTTTGTGTTTAGCTGTAATTTTCCTCTTACTCATTTACTGTACCCACACATATTATATTCCATTTTCTGACCATTAAATGGTCATTATAAAGACACCATTATTTTCATCATATCATATAATTTACTTTAAAAAAATATAAAATATGATGAAAATGTAAAAAAAAAAAAAAAAACTTTTTCTAACTTTGACCCCCAAAATTCTTTTACAAATCTACAACTGCCAACACACGCCCATGCTAAATAGTTTCTAAGTTTTGTCCTGAGTTTAGCAATACCCAATGTTAACATGTTCTTAGCTTTTGTTTGCAAGTTATAGGGCAATAAATACAAGCAGCACATTGCTATTTCCAAACCATTTTTTTTTTTCAAAATTAACGAAAGTTACATTGTAACACTGATATCTGTCAGGAATCCCTGAATAACCCTTCACATATATATATTTATTTTTAATTTTTTTAAAGAAGACAACCTAAGGTATTAAACTTGGGGTATTTTGACTTTTTTCATGCAACTATTTTACCACCAATCTATGCCAAATATTTTTTTATTTTTTTTTATTTTATTTAAGGATACATTTACTTAGACCATTAAGAGTTACTGCCAAATAACACCCCAACATGTGTTTAGCAACATCTCCTGAGTACAGTGATACCACCCATGTATACGTGTGTCAGGTTCTCTGGGGACTAAAAAACATTATTTGGAGGGTGTGCATTCCATTTTCCAACTTGGAATTTTCACAGCTGGTCATCATGCACCCATGTCCTATTTGGGAAATGTTTGAAGCCGGCCAATGTAATTTACCCCCATCAAACCATATATTTTTGAAACGTAGACAACCCAGGGTATTCAATATGGCATGTATCCAGTCTTCTTAGTAGCCACTTAGTCACAAACACTGGCCAAAATTAGCATTTATACTTGTTTGTGTGTTTTAAAAATGCAAAATAAATAATTATAAACGTTAACTTTGGCCAGTGTTTGTGACTAAGTGGCTTCTAAAAAAGACTGAACATACCCCATTTGCAATACCTTGGGTTGTCTTCTTTTGCAAATGATATGCCATCATGGGGGTAATACTCATTCCTGGGTACCATACGCTATCAAAGGCAACAAAACCAATCTGGCAAATTTTAGTGTGAAAAAACAACCTTGTATTTGACTCTGTAACATTCAAAAACAGTATAAAACCTGTACATTGGGGGTACTGTTATACTCGGGAGACTTTGCTGAACACAAATATTAGTGTTTCACTTTCACTGACAATATCATCGCTGTGATATGTTTTACTGTTTTGAAACACTAATATTAGTGTTCAGCGAAGTCTCCCGAGTAAAACAGTACCCCTCATGTACAGGTTTTAGGGTGTCATGGAAAGTTACAGGGTTAAATACAGTGCTAGCAAATGATATTCTCTGGACTTTCGACATGGGTTGTCATGCAGTTCTCACAAATTGCAATCAATGAAATTACTTAATTATGTAAAAATATTATATAAATATGCAAGTAGAATTTAAATATACATATTTATATATTTGACGTCTATGTGTATAGTTGTGAAATTATTTATGTAATTATGTATATGGACATATGTATAATTTGTATTTTTAATTATTTATATGTGTAATTTAATTCTAAGTGTATTTTTATATATATATCAAAATACAGTTATAATAAAATCACATATATATATTTTCCATTTTATTGTAATTTTTACTTTTTATTTATTATTTAGTTATAATGCATGTACAATATATATATATGTGTGTAATTTTACTCTAAGTGTATTTTTACATTAATATAAGTATGTATTAATAAAAACATACACTTAGCATGACGTTTTATTTATATATATATATATTTGTGTGTGTGTGTGTATGTGCAATATATATATATATATATATATATATATATATATATATACACAAATTCAGTCTGGAGCACTCACTTGGATAATCCACCTAGGATAGACCATAGCAGGAATAAAAGTATCAAAGACTTTGCAAGCCCATTCCTCTTCATCTCTGTACCTAGATACATTTCCCCCTCCCTTACCTTTATTGCAAGCTCTCTGACCCTCACATCTCTTTATTCAACAGCCTGATTCCCCAACTTTGCAAGCCCATTCCTTCAGTGAGCAAGCCTGATGCCCACCCTCCCCTCCCCACACCATCCCCCATGCTCATTATTACATTTATAGATTGTCTGTCACACCTACATTTTAGTTAGGTTAAAAAAACCTGCCTCTTATTAGTACACTCCTGCACTTTCTTAACCCATAAAACACCTTCACCTGCTCTTCATATTCCAATTACGTCCAAGTTTTATTTTTCAGTTTTCTTCTCCTCTTTATTGCCTCAGTCTCCCTCAGTATAAAAATCTCTCCTTACACCCACTTCACTCATCCCCCCCCCATCCACATTTACATATGCCCTTCTCTGCTACACTCCCCCCTTCTCTCATCTCATGCCTTACACTCATTTTTCTACTCTCTCACTCCAACCCACAATCGATTTCATCCTAGGCCCCCCCCACGCATACAAAACCCATTCACACCTCCTGTCACTTTCTCTCCTCCTACTTCTAGCAGCTGGTGATGTCTCTCCCAATCCAGGACCTTCAGCTTCTCTACACACACTAAGAAAACCAGCAACCCCACAAACCTCATTACAATACCCTGCCCTTTATCCTCACTTACCAAAATTAATTGTGCACTCTGGAATGCCCGCTCCATCTGCAGTAATTTAAATTCAACAACCATACACGACTTTTTTATCTCAGACTCACTCACACTGCTTGCACTTACAGAGACCTGGCTGTCCCCCAGGGCCGCACTGTGAATTAAAAGCAGCCCTGGAAAAAAAATATTTACCAGCCCCATAATGCGTCGCGTCAGCATAGTGTGCAGATACAGAGTTAGAACAGATAACTTAAAATTAAAAAGTACTTCAACGTAAAAAGCGCACTCATAGGCTTCAAAATAAACAAAAGTGCAGATTTATTTTAAGCAGACGTGCCTTTGCATGTAATCAGTGTTTCAGTCCAACTACTTTGACATATTAAGGAAAGCTTGTTAATGGGACTGAAATGGTGAATATATGTAGGGCACAACTGAAATTTTTTTTATTTTGAAGTCCTGTGGGTGTGCTCTTCACTTTAAATATGTTATTGTGCTGGAGTATGCACCTAACAACAAGACTGGGCCAATATCTGCTCATTACATATGGTACATATTAATGAAATTTCTCTGTGTATTATGCATTTATAAATGTACATTAATATGTGTAAATATAATAGGTATATATATATATATATATATAACTAATACACACATTAATATACATGTCATATACTAGTGGCGGATCCAGAGCCTGAGCCTGAAAGGGGCACTTGTAGATTATTTAAAGAAATATTCCATGCACAATAACCACTACTCCTCTGTGTAGTGGTTATGGTGCCAGGAGCGTCAACTTACCTGGAGTCTGCTGGGATATGGGGCTGTAGTAGGGTATAGGAGAAGTGGTGCAATGTGTGTGAAAGGTTCAGTGTGTGGGTGGGCAGTGTGTAAATGTGTATGGTGTGTGTGTGTGTGTGTGTGTATGGGGCTCCTCCCCATCTCTCTCCCTCCCTCCTTTCCCTGTGTCTCTCCCCTTCTCCCTCCCCCCTTTCCCTGTGTCTCTCCCCATCTCTCTCCCCCCTTTCCATCTCTCCCCTCCCCCTTTCCCTGTTTCTCTCCCTCCCCTTTCCCTGTGTCTCTCCCTTCTCCCCCCTCACCATCTCTCCCTCCCCTTTCCCTGTGTCTCTCCCTTCTCCCCCCTCACCATCTCTCCCTTCCCCCTTTCCCTGTGTCTCTCCCCACTCCCTCCCTTTTCCCCTGCCCTCCCCTTTCCCTGTGTGTGTCTCTCCCTCCCTCCCTCCCCCTTTCCCCTGTGTCTCCTACCATCCCCCTTTCCCTGTGCTCCTCCTCCCCTTTCCCTGTGTTCCTCCCCCTCCCTCTCCCCTTTCCCTGTGTTCTCCCCCTCATCTCTCCCTCCTCTCTATTCTTCCCCTCTCCCTCCTTACATGGCACAGTTTACTGTGGGAGCTGGCCTGGTCTCGGCACTCCTTCACTGCTGCGGCGATGGAGAGGGGCCTGTGTTTCATGCCCTCGCGGTTCCTGTGCCGGGAACCGCGAGGGAGCATGGTACAGAGACATGCTCCTCCTCCATCAGCCACAGCAGTGACAGGAGCAGGGCCGCCGGACCGGGGAAGCTGCCACCCAGCCCGGCGGCTCCAGCCAGGAACGCGGTCGGCCCCCAGGTGCCGCGGCCCACCGGGAAATTTCCCGGTATCCCGGTGGGTCAGTCCGGCCCTGCTGTGCCCCTCTGATAGTGCTACTCCTGCCTCTTTATGTTTTGGTGGGCTACAATTCTCTCACACTCCCAGACTCAATTGTAAAGGAGGCGGCGTAGGCATCCTTCTCTCCCCTCAATGTACATTTCAACCAATCATAACTCCCCCTGCCCTATCCTTTTCTTCTTTTGAAGTTCACACTGTCCGCCTATTTAAACCCACTCCTTTAAGAATTGCTATCATCTACCGCCCCCCACCCCGGTTATCCTAGACTATTCATTGAGCACTTTTCTTCCTGGCTTCCCCACTTCCTCTCATCTAGCACTCCTTCCCTTATACTTGGGGATTTCAATATCCCAATCAATAACCCCAATTGCACTGATGCCTCTCGTCTGCTCTCTGTAACCTGGTCCTTTGGCCTTACGCAATGGTCCAATTTAGCAACCCATACAGCAGGAAACACTCTTGATCTTGCCTTCACCAACCTCTGTACTGCCTCTAATCTCTCCAGTATTCCTTTTCCTCTATCCGACCACCATCTGCTGACTTTTGACATTGGCATACCTAAGACCCAATTGACACCACCGTCTGAACATCACTCTCACAGAAACCTCCAATGTCTTGACCTAGAGCATTTCTCCACTAATCTCCAAACTCTCCTTTTACCTATCTTAAACCTCACCTGTCCTAGTTCTGCAACCGCCTTCTATAATTCCACCCTCTCCTCTCAACTAGACATCGTGGCACCTTGTACATTTAAACGCCACAGGCCCCCCCAACAACAACACTGCCACACCAAGCTTACTCTTTACCTCCAAAAACGCTCCAGAACTGCTGAACGCTGTTGGAGAAAGTCTCACTGTGCATCTGACTTTCTCCACTATAAATTTATGCTGAGCTCATACAGCTTGGCTTTTTCCTCTGCAAAAGTTAATTACTTTAATACCCTCATAACCACACTCTCCCGCAAACCCAAATGACTATTTCACACATTTTAACTCTTCTTCGCCCTGCTGTTCCTCCTCCACCTACTAACTTGACCGCCTCAGACTTTGCAACTCACTTCACTGACAAGATCTCTACAATCAGAGAAAAGATCTCTCATCTTTCTTCTTCCCCTTACAATACTTCCCCTAACTTCACTCCCTCTGCTGTTCTATGTTCATTCGCACCCGTTACATTGGAAGAGGTTTCTGCTCTGCTCCAGTCCTCCTGCCCCACCTCTTGCTCCCTAGATCCAATTCCCTCGCATTTCATCCGTACTCTGTCTTCTTCTCTTTCTCCACCTCTCACTAAAATTCTCAATCTCTCTCTCCATTGCCCTCCAAACATGCTACTGTAACCCCAATTCTAAAGAAGCCCAATCTTGACCCTAACTCCCCATCCAACTATCGTCCTATCTCGCTACTGCCTTTGGCATCCAAGATTCTTGAAAAAATTGTGTATACGAGATTGACAGACTTCCTCGAGTCCAACTCTCTGCTAGACCCGCTTCAGTCTGGTTTCCGCGCTAAGAACTCTGTGGAAACGGCACTAACCAAGATATCCAATTATCTACTCGCTGCAAAATCTCGTGGTCATTACTCTATCCTAATTCTCCTTGGCCTGTCTTTTGACACTGTTGATCATCAACAGCTTCTTCACATCCTCAACAATATCGGTCTACAAGATATTGCTCTAATATAGCTTGGTTGCTACTTCTAAGTGCTGTTTCTAAGTGTGTAGTTGGAGATATTCTGGAGAGTTTTACAGAAGCTTCAACTGTCTAAGAGTTGTGCTAAGAGCTTTCCTTTCTACTGTTACAGGTAAGATTCATCTGTAGGAAAAGGTTACTGATTGCACAAGGTTTGAATTCCTGTTGGTAATTATAAGGCATTTGATTAGATTACTTGCTATTGATTGCTGTTTAAATGAGCTGTTGTTTGCAAATAAGCAGAGGCCTACCCAGGTGTTAAACATTCCTAGTGGGTGGTGATTTTAGGAGTTATATAAGGGCTGTTGCCATTAGCTTGGCTGCTACTTCTAAGTGCTGTTTCTAAGTGTGTAGTTGGAGATATTCTGGAGATAACCTGGAGGTAATCTGAGGTATTCAGGAGGATAAATATAAAGTTAAGATTTGTTTGATTTAAATTATTCTCCTCATTGGAATGGCAGACTTAGTTCAGTGTAGTGGTTGCTATGCATTTGTTTCACGTTCCACTTTTTGGAGGTTTGGTTGTTGTCTAATCTGTAGACAGTTCTCTATCTTGCGGCAGGAGATTGTATTTTTGAAGTCTGAGATTTGTAAATTCTCTGGTGAACAAACTCAGACTGGAACTTCTGCAAAGCCACTACTGAGGAGACATACTAGGAATGGCAGATGGATTACTGTAGGATCTGGTAGACTTAGAGTTGAGGAAAAAAGGCATTTTGCACAGTCTGTTGCTCTTCATAATTAATTTTCTGCCCTTTCAGAGTGTAATGGTGTTGTGGAGAGAGGCACTGAGGCTAGTGGTGTTGTGGAGAGAGGCACTGAGGCTAGTGGTGTTGTGGAGACCGGCTTGGAGACTATGGTGAGGCCTAATAGAAAGCAGTTGTTGCTGGGGGATTCCATTATAAGAGGTCTGGAGATGGACAATAGTGGTCTTGTGAGGTGTCTTCCCGGAGCTACTGCTCACAGAGACAGGAGACGTATCTGTAATATTGTTAAGCAAGCAAAGCAGGAAGGGGAATTGGATGTACTTGTCCATCTAGGGACAAATGACTTGGCTTGCAATGAGGTTTCAGAGGTTAAGGAAGATTTTAGTGTTTTTGCCAATGATATACGGCAGGTTGTTTCCACACTGTCATTCTCTGAAGTTCTGCCTGTGCATAACACTCAGAACGACAGGCAGATGCGTATTAGGGACTTTAATTTGTGGCTTGGTGAATGGTGTCGGGAGCAAGGATTTGGCTTTATTTCTCATGGTAGCTCTGTTTGGAATGGAGATAAAGGTATTAAGGGGTTACACTGGTAACCAATAATGAGGACTTAATAGGTGGACATACACCTGTGAAAACGGACTTAAAAGCAAGGCAGCAGCAGAATGGAAGTGTGATCTGAGGAAGCCGATTTTGTGGCGAAACGCGTCATCACGTACGTCCCGTGGTTACGTCGTTAGGCTCCGCCTCCAGGAAGTGTTTGCGGTACGGTGCTAGCCGGCAGCGAAACTGTATGCAGTACGCCTTCCAAAGAGAGACTGAGTGAGCAAAGCGATACCACTTGGGGGACTATTTTTAATATTGTGAAGATTTATTTGGAAATAAAAAAGTGTTTCTTTCAACTTGCTGCTGTCCTATGACCTGTTGGCTTTACACAAGAAGCGGATAAAGTTAGAGCAGACTTCTCTGCTCTCCACTTGTGAGTTTAACATTATTCATTGTTCTAATAACAAAATTTATAATACTGTATTACACTATGTTCTCTTATTTATTTTTTATACATATGTATGCAAAACTGGAGTAACCAGACCTAAGGTACATATAGCGGGGTATTGTAAGTGCTCCGTTTTTTCTACTAATTTTTCACCAATACACTGTTATAAAAGTGGTATTTGTAAATTACCAATTTTCACCAATATATTGGTATATAAGTGATATTTGCACACTTGCACCTTTTTGCACTATTGTAGAGTGTGTAATAGCAACACATTTATTAAATAGAGTTTGTGTTTTTTTGAAGCACTGGAGTGTTTTTAAAGGAACATTGCACTTTTCTTGTCTTAAAGACACAGCGCACCCTTTTTTTGTACTATGGAATGGAGATAAGCTGTACAAAAAAGATGGTTTGTATCTTTCTCAAAAGGGAACAAATGTTCTCAGTGAGCAGTTCAGAGGGTTTGCTAGAATGTATTTAAACTAGGGGGGGGGGCAAAAGGGTGATAAAACATCAATCCAATTGTCCCCCAAAACAAGGACAGAAGGTGCCTGTAGCAAGTGTGTTAAAAAATGATAAGCTTAGAGTCATGTCTACAAATGCTCGCAGTTTAGGGAATAAGATCCATGAACTTGTGGCAATAATGGCAACTGATAATGTAGATTTAGTCGCTGTTACTGAAACATGGTATAATGAGAAAAATGACTGGGACATAGCAATACCAGGGTACTCTTTATATAAGAAAGATAGGAAATGCAAGAAAGGGAGAGGGGTGGCCTTGTATGTGAAGGATAGCATAAAATCTAGCCTAATAAAAGTTAGTGAGGCAAACATAGAGTCCGTTTGGGCTACGTTAGAATTTGGTAATCACACAGTAACTGTGTAGGTGTGATTTATAGGCCCCCAGGACAAATTGAAGAGTTAGATAATCTACTAGTTGAGGAAATAGCTAAAATGACAATGAAGGGGGAAGTTATCATCATGGGTGACTTTAATCTTCCTGATGTAAATTGGAAAACAAAATTAGCTACTTGTGCCAGGAGCACACATAATCTAAACTCCCTACTGGGATTGTCTCTAAAACAAGTTGTTGAGGAGCCAACTCGTAAAGAGGCCATACTAGATTTAGTGTTACCAAATGGAGATTTGGTATCAGATATTACTGTAGGTGAAAGTTTAGGATCCAGTGATCATCAGTCAGTGTGGCTTAATATAAGAACAGTGACTGAGTCAC